GGAATTCGTGCACAGGAGTGGAGTGTCCCTCAAACCAGCCTGCACACTCTCCAATATGGGACCCCTTGAGGGATGTCTGACTGTCCATTTAGGCCCAATTCTGGGATTGGGCCTAAATGGGCAGTCGGATATCCCTCTCACAATCCAGGACTGCTGGCTCCCAACTGCTCGCCTGCCTGCCTTCCTGATTGCCCCTAATCACTTCTGCCTGCCAGCTTGATCACCCCCTAACCACTCCCCTGCCAGGCTGATCACCCCTAACTGCCCTTCCCTGCAGGCCTGGTCACCCCTAACTGTCCTCCCCTGCAGGCCTGGTCCCCCCTCAACTGCCTTCCCCTGCAGGTCTGGCTCCCCCACCCCCAACTGCCCTTCCCTGCAGGCCCAGTTGCCCCCAACTTCCCTCCTCTGCTGGCCTGGTCTCCCCTAACTGCCCTCCCCTGCAGGCTTGATTGTCCTCAACTGACCTCCCTTGCAGGCCTGGTCCCTCGCAACTGTCCTCCCCTGTTGGCCATCTTGTGCTGGCCATCTTTGACCACGTGGGGCAGCCATCTTGTGTGTTGGAATGATGATCACTTTGCATATTACTCTTTTATTAGATAGGATAGAGGCCTGATGTACGGGTGGGGGGCAGCTGGTTTGCCTTGAAAGGTGTCTTGGATCAGGGTGGGGTTCCCTTGGGGTGTGGGGCAGCCTGGGCGAGGGGCCTGTGGTGGTTTGCAGGCTGGCCATGTCCCCCAGTGACCCAAGCAAAGGCCCTGGTATCTGGAATTTATTTATTTTCTATAATTGAAACTTTGTAGCCTTGAGCAGAGCCAAGCCTCCTGCTCACTCCATGGCTGCAGCCATTTTTGTTGGGATTTATTTATCTTCTATAATTGAAACTTTGCAGCCTTGAGCAGAGGCCAAGGCAGGCCAGGAAGGTGGAAGGTTGGCTTCCTCTATTGCAGGGGAACCCAAGCCTCCTGGTCTCTCTGTGGCCTCAGCAATCTTGTGTTAATTTGCATATTTGCTCCAGATTGGTTGGTGGGCATGGCTTGTGGTTTGTAGCGGAGGTATGGTCAATTTGCATATTACTCTTTTATTAGATAGGATATAAATATGTTTGTCTGTGTATTATGTGTGGTAAATTTTCAGCCTCTGGATGGCATTATTAGGATATAATATTTTATTGGCCTAATTTAAAAGAATATAAATTAAGCAGAATTCTGTGATCTGGCCAAAATTTTCAAATATTAAAAGAGTTAAGTTTGCCGAAACCGGTTTGGCTCAGTGGATAGAGCATCGGCCTTCGGACTGAAAGGTCCCGGGTTCGATTCCGGTCAAGGGCATGTACCTTGGTTGCGGGCACATACCCAGTGGGGGTGTGCAGGAGGCAGCTGGTCGATGATTCTCTCTCATTGATGTTTCTAGCTCTCTGTCCCTCTCTCTTCCTCGTTGTAAGAAATCAATAAAACATATTTTAAAAAAAAAGATTTAAGTTTGATTAATGTCTTTTAGAGTCATTATCATAAAATATTTTTTAAAACCTAGATTTACAAAGAGTTTATGATGTAATCTTTTGGTTAAGTATATTTGACAATCTCTCCAAAGTTTGAATTTTAAGACTTTTAACTGAGAAATGACTTTGGGTCATTCCAATGGCCCCTGATATGACTCAAAGATTTATTTTCTCCTCTTAAAAGAAATATTTTTAAACTAAATTAGGCCAATTTAATATACTTGAAAAAAAGTTTTTAAATATATATTTTATTGATTTTTTACAGAGAGGAAGAGAGAGGGTTAGTTAGAAACATCAATGAGAGAGAATCATCGATCAGCTGCCTCCTGCACATCCCCCACTGGGGATGTACCTGCAACCAAGGTACATGCCTTTGACTGGAATCGAACCCGGGACCCCCCAGTCCACAGACTGATGCTCTATCCACTGAGCCAAACCGGTTTCGGCTATACTTGAAATTTTGTGGGAAGCTTTGACAAATAAAAATTAATAACTATGTTCTATTTATACACACATATTTTGTTTAAATGAATGTTATAGAAATTTTAGTATGCTTCAGAAAGAAACTTGCAAAGATTCAGAGACAAATTCAAACAGAAAACTCTCAGGGTAGCATGTGTCCAGTCAGAAACACCAGGCAAACCAAGAGTGATAATTCCCTGTGGGGGCATCTGGCAGTGATACTCTGGATATTTGCATTGCACATATTGGGAGTTTATGTAATATATATATATAATTTATTTCAGAGAGGAAGGAAGGGTGAGATAGAAACATCAATGATGAGAAAGAATCATTGATTAGCTGCCTCCTGCATGTGATCGAGCCCACAACCTGGGCATGTGCCCTTAACTGGAATCAAACCTGGGATTCTTCAGTCCACAAGTTGACGCTCAATCCACTGAGCCACACCGGCCAGGGCTGTGTATTATTTTCAATGCTCAATACACCGCTTGCAATAGGTCGTGTACCTCATTTTAAAATCTTGCATATTTTTTATTCTTTATATGCTGAAATTATATATTGAATCTAAAAATATACAAATTTTATATTATTCTCTATGTCATTTTATAATAATAATTATTTACCAAGAAATTGTCTTAAAATGTTATATCTTATATAAAAGCAAAGTTTTTTTTTTTTTTATCAATTGCATTATAATCAAATCCATAACCATGCCAGTTTTAAATTTTGTCACTCATGGACAGCTGTTGCTTTACTGTTATGCACCTGCAGGTATATTGTATCTTTAGAAAAATCCATGTAAAGGACTCTGCCCTACTTTATGTTGCAGGCTTCTAAGCAGGCCATATGTTTGAACAGATTTATAGAACTTCAAGGAATAACTAAATTCAAAAAACTACTAGCAAATAATCAGATAAACAAAAATAACTATGGAACTAAAGGAGTTGAGACTAACTATTCTCAATTCATTTGCCACTGAGCCAAACTGGTTAAGGCAAGACTAATTATTCTTAAAATATGGTTGATTTTTAAATTTTTGTTTCCCAAATATAAGGAAAACTAAAAAGCAGACATTCTGCATTATAGGAACAAATAAAGATTTCACAGTATTTCCAGGAGATAAAGATTCAAAGACCATGACAACCTGGAGATTTTTTTTGTCCATTGGGAAATACATTCATTAAAGACTCTCTCCTGTTGGAGAGACATTATCTTATAAGGTGTCTAACCACGAATGGACATTTGCCCCTGTCTCTGACACTCGCCTTCATCTCAAAGCTGAGACGTCACCGACTATGGGGGAGGTAGACAGCCATCCCAAAACATCAACAAGGAAGGCCTTCTATGCTCACAAATTGGTGCTGCTCAAACCTTGTTCTTATATCATCTAACTGTTATTGATTGAATGAATATGGTACCTCCTTATGGTACCCTAATGGAAACAATATATGTCTCCCCAGACCTCTCTCCTTACTAGACATGAAAAATTTAACTTGGGTACCTGCTAATCTTTCTCATCTCCTAGACAATGATATCTGATTATCAGCTATGATAATGAAGTTAATGTTTTGTTGGCCACACATTAGTGGTCTTCTACTATCATCATATGCTTTGATACACTTTTTCAGGCTATATCTATTATAAAGGAACTCTCTTGGACAAACCCCTCCAAGAACACTCCCTAATAATTCCCCTGGTAGAATTGTATATAGATCTAGATGAGTATTTTAGATGCATATTGTCTAAATATTGGAATGGATGAAATTAACTGCCCAGAAGAAAAATTAGAACTTCTGGATAACAGTAGATATTTGTTTCACCTCAGATCCTTCCTTGTCTAATCAGTGTTACTGATTTAATATTGTTACTTTTGTTCCTGGTATGTAAATGTCATATTAGATATAAAAAAAAAAACAACCCAAAAGTTAAGTCAAAAAGACTCGAATCATGGTGGCTCAAAAATCAGAAAAGATCCAGAAAACTTTTTAACAAAGACATATAGAATCTGACTGCCTTCCATTTACCTGCCTGCCCTTAAAAAAAAAAAAAAAAAAAAAAAAAAAAAAAAAATATATATATATATATATATATATATATATATATATATTTCAGAGAGGAAGGGAGAGGGAGAGAGAGATAAAAACATCAATGATGAGAGAATCATTGATCGGCTGCCTCCTGCATGCCCCCTACTGGGGATTGAGCCAGCAACCCAGTGGTTGAGCATCTACCTATGAACCAGGAAGTCATGGTTTGATTCCAGAGCAGGGTAGGATGTATTAGTTTCCTGCTGATGCTGTAACAAATTACCACAAACTTAATGGCTTAACAAAATCCACACCAATTTATTATCTTGCAGTTCTGAAGGTCAGAAGTCCAAAATAAATCTTACAGGTCTAAAATCAAAGGCTGAGTTTCTGCTGGAGGTTCCAGGGGAACATCCACTCTTTGTCTTTTTCAACTTCTAGAGGGTGCCTGCTTTCTTCACTCCTGGCCTTCGCTCCAACCTCTGCTTGCATCATCACAGCTCTTCCTCTGACTCTGAACCTCCTGCCTCCCTCTTATAAGGACCCATGTGATTATATTGGACCTTCTAGGTTCCAGGATAACTTGCCAGCTTAATATCTTTAATCGCATCTATAACACTTATTTTACCATGTAAAGTAACATAGTCACAGATCCAGGGGACTAGCAAGAGGGGATGCCTATTCTGCCCCCCACAGGGAGGTCAGGGAGAGGAGATACAGCTGCAGACAGTTGTGTCTGAGAGAACCTCACTGAGACTGAAATCTGCCTCAAGATCTGAAGGGAGGGAGGGAAGGAACAGTGAGGACATGAGGGAAGAGCATCCAGGACGCAGGAACAGCCAACGCAAAGCCCCAAGGCAGGCTATTCCCTTTTCCTGGGACCGCCTCTTCCTGCTGCTCCAAAACAACAGGTGCCTCTGCATCTTGCTTGAAGAGCAGAAAGGTTTGAGATACCTATTCATCATTGGTCTCTTGGCACAGTCTGCATTTCCCAGGGTTCCTCAAAGGGCAGATCAGGCTGGGGGGACAAGGCAGGAACCTGGATCAGAAAGACAATTGGGACAGTCCTCCCCTCTACCCACAGTCCAACCCAGCGGTCACCTGGGCTCTGGAGTGGCCCTGCCCCTGTAGCGTTCGCCTGCGATGCCACTGGCACAGAGTGGCACTGGCCTCAGAACTGAGCTCCTGGGGTGCGCGTCCAGCTTCGGGCTGATAGTGGGCTATGTGGTGCAGGGCCCCAAACCACGTGGTCAGGTAGTAACCAACTAGGGCAAGAAGAAGGTGTTGGTGCAGCTCTCCCGGCTTTCCTGGTGGCCCGAAGGCCCCTGCAGTTCGCCAGCCTTTCCTCCTGTTGCAGGGTGCTGGCGTCTGGGGATGGGGACTCACCTTCTCCTAGTAGCTCTTCAGGATCCAGGAGCTCCATAAGGAATTCCACGTCCAGCTGTGTCTCCTCTATGTCCGGACTCCAGATAAGCTCCTCGGTCAGCGCCGGCAGGAAGGCGTCGGCGCCCAGGGACTCTGGGGACGCCAAGGACAGGCTCTGAGCTGGATGGGGATGTGCAGGCCCCTTCCATCCGACCCCCAGGACAGCGGGCGCTAGCTACCCCTCACCTTGCTTGGGGTGTAACACCTCTTACCTGATCTCCTGGCCTGCACAAACACCTCCCATAGAGCATGCCACCTCGCCCCTGACGTGCACACAGGCACCTCCTAAATGGCTCCTACAACCCTCAGGGCGGTCCACATCCAGGGAGACGCAGCCTCCTCCTTCTTTACCTGGTTTCTTGCCCGAAGCCAGGCCCTCGTAGATGTCCCTGCACATCGCCAGCAGCAACGCCACCTTGCGGCGTGGGGCACAGGCCGCATGGAGGTGCTGGAGGCGTGCGTGGATGCGGCGCCGCAAGGCGGGGACCGGGCCCTGCCCCTCAGGCCCCGCCTCCGCCCGCAAGGCTGTTTGCTGCCTCCGCAGCCGCCTCAGCTCTGGGGCCCTGAGCTTGCGGAGTCGCGTCCACAAGGCCGGCCTCAGTGGCGCCAGCACTGCCCGGCACAAGGCCGCCTCCACCGCGGGGCCTGCGAGGCGGATGAGGAGAGAGCAGCTGACCCACACCAGCTCGCTCGCTCCACCACCCACCCTGCCTCCCGCCACCCGCCCCAACTGCTGGCCACCACCAGTGTAGACATGGGTATGAACACGTGCGCGAAGGAAGGCTGGGTGTGAATACGCATGTGGGGAGGGCATTATGGCTGTCAAGCCTTGTGCGAGGGAGGGTGGTGGATAGAACAGGTGGCACTGCCTACAGGAAAGGGCGGTGAGTGGAAAAGGAAGCAGGTCGCACAGAAATAGAGAGGAAGAACTTGGGTGTGAACACATAGTTAGGGCCAAGGGATGGCACATATATGAACGATGTGGGTTCAGGGAGTGGCTATCAATTCCCTCCCAGTCCTCCTATTACCAAGATCCTCCTCGTTCTTCTGGGGAACCCCAGGTCCTCTGCTTCCAAAGATAGCCCTGACATTGGGGTCCTTTGCCAAGTGATACTGGAGGTCGGTAAGGAGGTGCCGCACATCCTGGAGCAGCTCCATGGCGGGGTCCCCAGGCCTGTGGGGGCCCTCAGCTTCTGATGTGAGGCGCGCCTGAAGGCCTCGGAACTGCTTGGCCACATAGCTGCTCCGGGCCCTGGCCAGGGCCTGGACATGACTAGTAAGCACATCCTCCGGCCCTTCTTCTTCCTGGTAGTCGTCCTCCACCTCCTCCCTCAGGCTGGCCAGAGCTGGCCCGGGATGGGGTACCTCTGGGCTGAGCGGGCCTTCCACCCAGGAGACCCGATGAGGGGCAGTGCTCCTGGGGGCTGGATGTGAAAACAGGGTTGGTCCCACGGAACAGCAGCAGCAGCTTCCTCATTTCAAGGGCCCTGCGCTCCGCCAGCTCACCAGGATCACTTCTCTTGGTCGTTTCCGGAGCTGTCTCTGGGGGAGATAGCACCCCTTGTCCTCTGTGGGTCTCCAGGTAGAGCTTGTTCACCACAGAGATCATCCTCTCTGAGGTGCTGAGTTGGACACTGCCATTCTGCAGAGTATCTGAGGGACAGCAGAAGTGAGGTGTCCCAGATGTCAGTGCACCAGGAGACTTAGTTCCCAGTCTTATTACTGAAAGAGCTGTGGTTTGGGCCTTGGCTCATCCTTATTCAGGCCCAGGAGTCCCACTCCAGCCCTCTCAGACGCCCTTCCTTACCCTCCCTCAAACCTAATAGTTGGTCTGCCAAGTGCCATCCTCCGGGACCAAGTAGGCAGAAAGTTGTCTCTCCCTCCCTTAGAGAACCATGCCTCACCTGCGTGTTGTTCCCCAGACCCTAGAGTGGGAGGGGGCAAGAGCAGTGTTCTGGGCAAAACATCCCTGAGGAAGGAAAAGTAGGAGCTGCAATGTGGGTAAGGTGTCTTAGGGAAGGACCCCCCTTAGCCCTTTTGATGGGACTTGTACCTGCTGGCTGACAGGAAGGCCAGGAGATGGGGAAGGTCTGGCATGCAGAGGTGAGAGGATTCCAGAGACACACCTGGGGGAGGGCGCCAGGAGGGACAAGTTATAAAACACGAGGGGTGGCAGCCTCCTCTTCCCTGGGACTCTCTCTTTCCAAGTTCTGAACCCCAAAGAACCTTCAGAACAGGGGAATTTCTACTCCTTGGAAACCCCATATTTCTCTGTGTCATTAAGCTTGCATCCCACTTATGCCACCAAGTATTCATTCATTAGATTATAAGTACTTATTGAACATCTTTCACTCCCAAATACTGGAGATACGGTTGTCAAAAAGCAGACATAATCATTGCCTTCCTATGGCTTACTTTTCAGTAGAGGAAGACAGAAAATAAATGAGTAGAAAAAGAAAGGTAAGTGAATTATTATAAACCAAATAGAGTAATTGACAATTTCTAGGACTATTTTAACTGTGGTCAAGGGAGGTTACATTTCTACAGAGGGCTGAAGGATGGAAACTAAGTCAATCATACAAAGAAGAGCATTAATTTGGGGCAAACAAATGCAAAGGTCCTGGGGCTAGGACTCATCTAGTGAGCTCGGGAACAGAGGAGTGCAGTGAGGCTGGAGCAGAGTGAATGAAGGGCAGCAGATGGAGAGGGGGGCAGATTGTCTACTGAAACACTTTATCAGCCACGATGAAGAGTTTAAATATTTAACTAATGATATTGCATATCCTTTAAGAATTTAAGGCAGAAATGCATAACAGCTGATTGACTGAAATACTACTTTGGCTGCTGAGCCCTGAATGGATTGCAGGAAGGAAAGGGTAGGCACGGGGATACCAGAGAGGAAGCTACTGAAATTGTCCAAGAAAAAGGTGATGACGGCTCAGACTAGGATGGCGAAGGCAGAGAGGACTGGGGAGATTTGGGAGATACTTTGGAAATAAAGTTGACCATTCTTGATGATAAATTTGCTATTGCTATTGACTATAAACTCGGGGGTAGGCACCTCACCTCCAGGAAGCTTCTGGATCTGGTAGGTGTTGACTTCCCCTGGTGAAGGTCCTGTCCTCAACACCAGGACCTGGCAGGGTTCCTGTCCTGTGACCAGAAAACTCTGTGGGGTAAGACAAAGGTCAGCATGCGGTGGATTTGTGCAGATGTGTTACCTTTGCCTACCTAGCATCTATTCCCTTATTTAGGGCTCCACAATCCAAGTTTTCTCTAAAGAACCCCACTCCTTCTCACTCAGTGTGGGTGGGCTGACTCCCCACAAGTCCTCAGAGTGGGTCCACAATCTGGGCTAGCTAATAGGATGACAGGATTCTCTGACCACTGTGAGTAGTTCAGAGATGGGCATGTGACCCAAGCTCAGCCAATGGGAATCTTCTACAGGAATTTTGCTGAAGCTCTTTGGGAAGAGGCCTTTTAATTTTTATTTAAATAATTTATTGATTTTTACAGAGAGGAAGGGAGAGAGAAAAACTGATGTGGGAGTGTAACATTAACCCCTCTTCCCACCCCCTTCCCCACTTGGGGATCAAGCCTGCCACCTGGGCATGTGCCCTAACCTGGAATCAAACCAGCATTGGCAACACCAAACCAACTTAATCACACTGGCCAGGGCAAGAAGTCAGTCTCTCTCTCTCTCTCTCTCTCTCTCTCTCTCTCTCTCTCTCTCTCTCTCAAAAATATATTTTATTGATTTTTTACAAAGAGGAAGAGAGAAGGATAGTTAGAAACATTGATGAGAGAGAAACATTGATCAGCCGCCTCCTGCACCCCCCCCCGCCCTGAGGATGTGCCCACAACCAAGGTACATGCCCTTGACCGGAATCGAATCCGGGACCTTTCAGTCCGCAAGCCGACACTCTATCCACTGAGCCAAACCGGTTTCGGCAAGAAGCCTCTTTTTTACAGTGGCATTGCTAATCAGTTGAGATGTGCTGCGCTAGGGACAGCCCTCTCAGACACCATAAGGAGAGCTCCCACGAGGAGGAAGCTATGGGAGCCCCTTTAGTTGTCTTATCTAAATCTATCCCCTATTCCTTGCAGACCCCCAACTTTGTTCAGGGCATTAATATGCATAGCCAAAGGAGATGAATTAATAGTCAGTGGTTTCTGTCTCTGGCTGTATAAGTCCTAGGTCAGCTTTAAGAAATACTGCTGCTGGCCCCCATCCATATATTCTGAATCCAATGTAAAGGCTATTGCTTTTGCTGATAAAACAGATGCAACTGGTGTTTCCTCTCTTCCCTTATGGCCTGGAACACACACATGTGCTTAGACCCAGGGCAGCCACTGGGCAACTATGGGAAAGTCCAAGAGAACTGCACACGCTGTCCTTGATGCCACTTAAGTTGCAGAACTAGAGCCAGCAGTTGCCTTTCTGGTCGTTAAAAAGATAAATGCTGTCCTGGCTGGTTCTCTAACCAGTGCACACACCAAAGTGTCCAGGGTTCGATTCCAAGTCAAGGGTGTAATACCTAGGCTGTGAGTGAGATCCCCGGTAGGGGCGTGTGCAGGAGGCAATCAACCAATGATTGCCATCTGCACACGCCCCAGTAGGGGCGTGTGCAGATGGCAATCAACCATCTCTCTCACATAGATGTTTCTCTCTCTCTCTCTCTCTTCCACCCCTCCTTCACTCTCTAAAAATCAATGAAAAAATATCATCAAGTGAAGATTGATGAAACAAAATTGCAACAATAAAAGAAGAAATAGCCCTAACTGGTTTGGCTCAATGGATAGAGCATCGGTCTGCGGACTCAAGGGTCCCAGGTTCGATTCCAGTCAAGGGCATGTACCTTGTTTGCAGGTACATCCCCAGTAGGGAGTATGCAGGAGGCAGCTGATCGATGTTTCTCTCTCATCGATGTTTCTAACTCTCTATCCCTTTCCCTTCCTCTCTGTTAAAAATCAATCAAATATATATTAAAAAAAGAAAAAGAAATAGCCCAGCCGGCATGGTTCAGTGGTTGAACATCAACCTAAGAATCAGGAGGTCAAGGCACATGTCCGAGTTGCAGGCATGATCTCCAGTGTGGGGCATCCAGGAGGCAGCTGATCAATGATACTCTCTCATCATTGTTGTTTCTAGCTCTCCCTCTCCCTTCCTCTCTAAAATCAATAAAAATATATTTAAAAAGAAATATAAATGCCTATTTGCTTAAACTATTATAGAATGAGCATTTGTTACTTACAGCCCAAAACATTCAGAACTTCCCTCAGTTTAAAGCAAAGCCAAGAAATAGGATGAAGAGAACTGTATAAGTTGTCTGATACTCAGGACCCAAGCATTCCTGAAATTCTGGGGTTTTCAGTCATTTGAATCAATAAGTAGCCTCTTTGGTTTGGCCTGTTTGTGTATATCGCTAGCAACCAGCGGAGTCCCAACTGATCCACAGTGTCCTGAGAGGGCCAGAAAGGGTCTCCAGCCATGAGTACTCACCCCAGGTGGCCACAGCTCCAAAAGGGCTTCTGCATCCTCGGCATCCAGCTCTGGGACCTGCCACACTCCCCAGGTCCTCTGCAGCCGAAGAAGTGGCTCTGGGCCCCCGAGAACCCCTAAGCAGGTCTCTCCTGCCCCATTCTCCTGTGATGGGACCAGTCTGGGAAGTGCAGGGTCCAGGAAACCAGGGGTCAGAGTTGGGCAGTTGGACCCAGTGGGATCAAAGGTAGGAAAGGAAAGCCTAGGGGTGAGGGGTCAGAGGTGAGGTGAGGGGTCCTATGGGAGACACCAATTGGATGAAAGGGGTTTCTGAATCCAGGGGCAGGAGATGGATACCCCAGGCCCAGCAGTGCTCACCTCTCCCTATGGGTGGGGGCTGCCAAGGCTTGGTCCTCTGGTTGGGCCATCCTCAGGATGTGGGAGGCCAGCAAGCCATGGCCTGGCCTCTAGCAGGGAGGAAGATAAGGCTCAAGGCTGCTCTAGTTCAGGGGTTATGTTCAAAATATTTCCAACCAACATGGCAGAGACCCTGACCAATCAGAATGAACCTAAGGCTCCTTGCAATGCCAGGTGTGGATTCTTTCACCACTGGATGGTGGTGTGCTCTGGGCATGTCCGGAGGAAAGTCAGCGTGTCTTGGAGTGGGGGGAAAGGGAGAGGACTCAAAATGACAAGCATTTACCAAATGGCAGGGAAATATCTCAGGTTTTAATATCTAGTGCAGCCGTGTGAATATGGACCAGTTGAGTAACAAGCCTAGCCAAAACACAGTGCCTAGTAGGCTCCATGAGACAAAAGTTATACAACTTCCCCTCCTCCTCCCTCCTCCCCCCACAGAAGGGCTCTCAAATATTGCCCCATTTTTTTTTTTTATTAAAAACTTCAAACATTAAAAAAAAGAAAAACGGAAAAGAATTTATGCCTACTACCTAGATTCTACCATTATTTTAATCTTTGCTTTTTCACATAGCCATCCCTCTATCTGTCTATCAGATCCCAACTCTTAACCAGGTACAGAGTCCTATAGTGGGTTACTAGTGAGGTTACCAGTTGAGGTGGGCACTTTTGAACATTTCCCCTATAGCACTCCCGGAAATAGGTCCAGGCACCCAGGCATCCATGCATCCCACAAACATGGAGTTCAGGCCCAGAATTAGGTGCCTGTGGCCTGGGGACAGAATAGGCCTGCTCTCAGGGGCATCCGTCTTCAGGGTGGGTAGAGAAGGTGGATAATAAATAGCTTAACAAATCAACCAGCCTGCTGACCAGAAGTCCAGGTGTTAGGAAGGGGGAACCAGAGCAGGCGCCTGTCCAGGAGGAGCAGGCAGGCGGGGTGGGGAAAGGAGGCAGATGCTCACCTGGGTCCCATGAGACGGGAGGAGGAGGTGGCTGGTGCTGGGCAGAGCAGGATGGGAGCTGTTTAAGAATACCAAAGGAGGCACGGGTGGGGGTGGGGGGTAATAATGCCAGCTGCTGGGTCCCTGGGGGCCCCTACCTGTTCTCCGAGGGGAGGCCTGAAGGAGCAGGAAGTGAAAGTGTTTCTTCACAGAGAGGAAGCTGAGCTGGCTAGAGGCGGGAGGGGGGAGAGGGAAGAGGCGGGGCTGGGGGGGTATCTGAAATTGACCTTCCTGCCTCTTTCTGGGGCCTTAGGCCTCAGGTAACAGGGCTTTGGAGGACGGAACCCTGATGACGGAAGTCCAGGGGCACCCGTGCTCTGTTTCTCACAAGAGCCTGTAGATGTCACGGTTTCCATAAGTGGCCCAAGATCTCACCCCTCCCTCAGCTGCTCCCCTGCGAGCCCACAGAACAGACAGCGAGGCCAGACAGCTGGTAGTTAGTTTTTGTTTTTAATTTGTCTCCAGTAGGTAACATCATCTGCCCATTCCGCATGGGACTCGGGTCCTGAGTGAAGGCAGCCCAGCACCACTTTGGGAACTGGAGGCAGAGAGGCGGAGGTCTGCAGGCTCAACCCCCATTTATGAGTCATGTTACACTTAGTCTGCTTGGCCACAGGCACCGGGGAGCGGTGGAAAGTATGTGGGCCCTACGCCCCGTCCTGGGACAGAGACATTTGGAGGCCCTGGGTCTCCGGGGAGCAGTTAGATGTTAGGGAGGATGATTCTTGCCCCAGGGGTGGTTAGAGGCTTCGGGCTGTTAGAGACAGGAGGGCGGCTCATGCCTCAGCCCCCAGGAGATGTTAGAGATTTGCCAGGGCCAGGGGGGCTGGGACCCCAGTTTTAGGAGGGAGTGGTTAAGAGACTGAGGGAATGCTCTGAGCTCCCCAGACAAAGGCTGGAGTTAGGGAGGACCAGGGCTGGTCGGGGCTCGACTGCCCCAAAGGTGCTGGGCGTCCTGCCTGGGAGGCGCAGGTGTCACTGGGGCTTCTTCCCCTGTGTGGTCCCGGCCTCCTCTTTGGGGGGCGATGGGGACTTCCCAGGGGAGGCTGAAGAGGAGGGGTTGGGGCTCCCAGACCCTGACTGAGCGTCAATGCGGGCGTGCTCCTTCCGGACAAGGTCTTCTAGCTCCTTCTGCAGGGACAATGATCCAGGAGTCAGAGGTCACCTCATGGGCCAGAGGACCCGTGGGCAGGGGTCTAGGGCCTGGGCTCAGGGAGGGCTGGGGTGGCTCAGGCTCCTCACCTTCCATCCGAGGAGGTCGGCAAGAGCCAGGCAGCCCTGGTCGCAGTCACCCAGCCAGGCCACATCCCTGTGGGGGAGTGAGAATCAGATCTCCCAGGCTTGCCCCAGCCCCCTGCCAGCTCTACCCTGGCTGTGTGTCTTCATGCCCTCCCCCCACCTTGGATCTGTCCCTCGAAGGCTCCACCCCCCACAGCAGATCCAGGCCTTACCTGTAGGCCTTCTTGGAGTCAAAGTCCATGCTTCCCCCGAGGCCCATCATCAGTCCCAGGAAGGGGTCAGTCTGCAGGGAAGAGCGAGTAGAGGAGAGATAAGAGCACTTGGTTGTACCCCAGCTCTGTGACTCTGCTTAAGTGACCTGGCCTCTCGGAACCTCAGTTTCTTTATCTGAGATCATCGGACCCACTCCTAAGGGTTTACTGTCAGTGGGTTAACCCAGGGAAAATGCTCACAACAGCGCCTGGCACATGGCATGTTTTGCCTGTTGGAAGAAACATTACTCTCCAAGAGGGAGCCCAAAGCTGGTGACTCTGATGACACTGAGAAGGCCTTGCCTCCAACTGCCCTGCCACTTCAGTCCCAGGAAGTGTTTTGGCTTCAGTTGCGTTGAGTTGGGGTTATGTCACTTGCTCAAAGGGTTCTGGATGATCCAGAGCCTGTGGAATTTTAGTCAGGGCAGCCCAGAACTTAATCCCTCTGGATTCTGAAAAACCTGGTTTGGAGCTGAGGGGTCTGAATTACTGGGTTCCCTAGAGACCCGTCCCATCATTCTGAGGAGCCCGTGGGAAGGAACAGGGACCCATTGAGGACCAAGCAGGCAGGGAAGAACAAGAAGATGTGAATAAAAGCCAACTTACCTGGCCAGTTTTTTCCTTGTTGATGAGCAGGCGTGGGGTAGAGAGGGGTGCCCTGGGAGGATGGCGAACTGAGTAGTGAGGCTCTGTCCTGGCTCCCCTCTCCCCGGCGCCCCCAGCCCAAACCCAACCTACTTGCTGATGAGGGATGCAAAGGGCTGCACCTGCAGGGAGGTGCCCATGATGATGAGCAGGTCCACCTTCAGGAAGTCCTGTGAAGGGGGAGTGGCCATGGCCATGAGGGCCCCGCCCTCAGCTGAGGCTGAGCCCCTCCCTCCCCGCCCCAGTCCCCACAGCTAGCTGAGGAAGTGACCCTTCCCAGGGCAGGGTCCAGGCTGCCCTCAAGGGCTGAGCACAGGGTGGTGATGGAAACACTTACTGACTGAATGCAGGAGAAGAAACGCGCTGGGAGGTTCTCACCAAAGAAGACGATATCTGAGGTGGGAACGGATGGACAGACAGACAACACAGGAGAGAAAAGACAGTGAACAGGGGGAGGCAGAGTACAGGAAGGAGCAGAAGGAGACCGTAGGGTTGGGTGGGGTGTAGAGCAGCAGGGACAGGCGAGGGTACAGAGCCCTCTCCCTGGAGAGGGGGACAGAGGTGGGTGGATGGCGACCATGGCCTTCTTGGGAAGAGGTTAGTGGGGTGGGGTGTTTCCAGGTTGGCATTAGATTGGGGCAGTCCAAATCTCCCTCGGTTGGCCCCTGGCCCCAGGCTCACCAGGCTTCACCACGCTCTCACACTTCTCACACTTGGGAGTCACCTCGGAGAAGATCTTCTCTGGAGGGGAGAAGGGGAACGGGAGAAGAGGTGAGAGGCTCTGGGTGGGGGCTGCAGCCTGCCCTGCCACCTCCTGCCCCTTTCTTCACCGTCCACACAAACACACCTCAGTCACAGGGAACCTCCTGGGTATCTGCCTGCTCAGAAGGGACCCCCCTTCTCAGGGAACTACCCCCCTATCCTCTCCCATGCCCCAGGAGTCCCAGGGTGGCTTCCAGCAACAGGCTTAGCTACTGGATGAGAGTCACCAAATGAGCAGACACTTGCTCCTAATAGGGGCCACTGGACTCCCAACTCCCGACCTGGGGAAACTGGTGTCAAGAGGGAAGTTCTGTCTGTGGGCCTTTGAGGGCAGCCCTATTTCCTCCTGGGTCAGAGAGGCCAGTGGTCGCAGGCCTGCTGGCAGAACAAGAGGGAAGAATATGCAGATGATCCTGCGATGGGGAGAACTCTTTAGGCACACGTGGGTTCTGTGACTGACTCCCCCACACACCATACTGTGACTATCATGCTCCTTATTGCTTATTATTATTTTTTAAAGTATATTTTTATAGATTTCAGAGAGGGAAAGGGAGAGAGAGACAGAAGCACCAATGATGAGAATTATTGATTGGTTCTTACTGCACACCCCACAGTGGGGATTGAGCCCACAACTCAGGCATGTGCCCTAACTGGGAATCGAACCAGCAACCTCGTGGTTCATAGGTCGATGCTCAACCATTGAGCCACACTGGTCTGTCTCCTTATTGCTTATTAAGAAAACTTGAAAAGCATTCTGTCACTTGCAAACCATAGAATCCTAGCTTGTTCATTCAACTATTCACTGATTTCTTTGACAAATATTTAGAGAACTGTTTTAATGTCATTTATCTTAAAACATTTCTGCATTGACAGTATCCTATTTTGTGGGTGCTGCATGAGATACTGCTGTAAGTGAACATAACGGGATAATGTTAATTGTATATAATCCCCAGCTGCATGTAGCTGGGCTGTTCAGGCCTCCTCGCCCCAAGGATGGTCAGCTGGCATTTTATCAGGGGCCTACTACAAGTGTTGTCCTTATCTCCTGCGGACACCAGAGGCTTTGTGAAGTCAGCATAAAGGATGGCAGAAGTGGGTTTTCATGGGTGAAATAAGTGACTTCTTAATTCACACAGTGGATGTCAGAAATAGGCTCTTGCTGTATTCCAAGAAATGTGGGTTGGTTGAGTAACTTTCCTCCTTGTTTTGGACACACTACCCTAACATGAATGGGGACTACGACCTTAGCAAGCCCTGTAGTCTGCACCTCTAGGGGCAGCCCCAGTCTTCAACCCTGACCAGCCTGTGTTCGGCTTCACACTCCATAGATTCTGCCCGCCTGAATTCATGGCTAATTGAGTCCAGTGTTTCTCATACAAGTGCTGTCCCATATGGTCATCATAGCAGATACTGCTTTTTACATTTAAATGAATAAAATTTAAAATTTAGCTCCTTGGTCCCACTAGCCACATTTCAGTATTCAGCAGTCATTGAGGCCAGCAGCTGCCATACTGGACATGCAGAGATGGGAGGTTTCCCTCATCTCAGAAAGTTCTACTAAACTTTCTGCTCTTCTGAGAACTGAGTTCCAGCTGCCTTGATGAGCACCTCATGTACACTAGGGTCAGAGCCCCTCAAAGGGCAAAGAGCTAGGGTTTCATGACATCATGAAATAGGCTGTGCGACCATTTGGGGGGCTCTGCTACATGTCTGTGTGCGGCTGACCTGGATCTGGAGCTTGCATCCATCATAACCTGGCTGTGAGGTAGTGTTGGAGCAATGAACCTCATTGTCATCTCAAATCTTTGGAGGCTGCCATTATCTACGAAAAGGAGCCACAGAGCTGTGCAGGGAAGAGCAGGTGCCCACTGGGGGAGGCCCTGTCTCTGGAGCTGAGCAGTGATCCGCGGGCAGAAGGCCTGCCTTTAGGGATGACCTTCAGCCTCTCACCTTTCATCCAGCTGAGCATATACTCCTGCCGGCAGAGGGGGCTGATGCAGTGCGATGTGTAGAAGGTGCCATGGGCCTCCACCAGGTCCTCAGGCTCCAGCCCTGCCACTCGCTCCAGGGTGTCTATGTTCTGGAGGGAGAGATGGAGGGGAGAGGGTCAGGAGTGCACCCCACACTTCAGGAGCAGAAGGCAGAGCAGGGAGTTGTAGCCAAGAGAAATCAGTGGGACAGGGAGAGAGAAGGTAGGGAAAGCAAGGGGCAGGGTGTGTCTAAAAATTCTGTTTGTTCTGATGGTGCCACTGAAAGGGTAAAAGTCATGGATCATTACAGGCCCGGGTCCAAACTCAAATGTGTATGAGCCCAGGCCCACGGCCACCACCAGCCCATATGGCATTTCTACAAATTCGGGCCTCTTTGCTCCCATTTTTCAGGTCATTTGTTTTGTTGGAACCACATACTTTAGTGCCACCTACTAGAAATCTGTTCAAATGATGTACAATGTTCCCATCGTAAACGGAGCCCCCTCAGACGTGGTGTTCTTATGTGGGACCCAAACAGCCCAGCTCTATGTGGCAGCCCTGGCCACGCAGTAACAGAAGTAAAAAACTCAGGGGGACTATGTGGTTTTAATCACACTTTACCTATTTAGCAGCCAGGTTTCTGACTGATATGTTTCCCTGACAGAATCTTAACTGTATTCCTTTAAGACAAAGAAACTTTCCTTATTCACCAAACAAGGATATTCTCTCTCACATACACACTTATGCTCTCATTTTCCTCTCAACAGGCAGCCTCTCTGGATCAGCTTTCATTGGCCTGTTAGGCCGGTGCCGGCCGAGGACACTGGCAGATGATACAGAGATGGCCATCACGTGTGGCCCACAGCTGAACCGACAGGCTTCCTGGAGATGCCACGGACAACTGAAAGGTTCCTTTCAAGGGCAGATGGCCCCAGCTGCTCTCTCCCCTCCCTGCCAGAAGTCAGCTTACCTCCAAAACATGCAGACAAGAATCACTGTCCCCAGATTCTCTGCAGCTTTCTCCCTCCCCTTCTACTGGAAATCCTAGTTTGCCTTTGTTACTTGATTCAGCCTACTACTGACTCCCTTGTGCATAAGCGGTGAGTGTGCAAATAACTCAATAGCGTGCAAAACTGCCTGAATGCCTGTTATTCTTTGACACCATGTATAACCAAGAAACAAAAACAAAGAATGAGGCCAACCTGTTTGTATGGATAGGAAATAATCTCGCCACTATGTTAAAAGGCAAAAACAAACAAACAAACAAACAAAAAAACCCACAAAGGCAGCGTGTACAGGATGTGAAAAATATATTTGAACTTGTGTATCTGTTTGCCACAGAATGAGACACATGAAAGAGCCAATGTCAGTGGCCTGCAGGAGGGAAGCTGGGGCTGGGCCCAAGGAAATTCTGTCCCAAAGGACAAGCCCTGAACCTGAGAAGACTCACAGCAACTGCACGTGGCCCCGGTGCCGGGAGGAACAGGCATGGGGAGGAGGTGTGCCCTGGGCAAGGGGAGCAGTTTCGGGAGTGGGCAGTGGCCACTCAACTCCAGCCAGCTCTCCTCCCAGGGACAGCTACCCAGCTCTTTCAATTTTTAGGATTTTCACCTGAAATCTGATTTTTAAACTTTGGTTCCCTTTTTGTTTTAAAACATTGTGTCCCTTTTAGACATATCACCAATGGCAGCTTTTAAAAAGCATGACGCTAAAAAAAATTAAAAAAAAAAAATAAAAAAAAAAAAGCATGAAGCTGCTTTGTGGGGGTGGATGTGGAAGAGTCTTTCAGACAAGGGTAAGGTGAAAGAAAGCTAAGTTCAGGGAACGTATGAGATCTTCCTTCCATCGTATGTTTGGCTTAAATAAATACTTGTAATAAAAAGAATGCACAAGTATGGCTGTGCTTTACCAAAATGCGAGTTGAGGCAGGAGACCAATGAAGTGTGCTGACAAAGGATCTCCTTTCAGCTGCCCAGGGAAAGAGAAATGAAGAGAGGCAAATAACTTGGTTGAAAGGAAGAAAGACAAGTCCAAACCCTATGTATAGTGCAAATGCCAATATTTCAAAGAGTGTGTTGCGTGGCAATCAAGTGACTTAGGTGAACAGCGCAATTGTTCTCACATTTGAGTGGATACTTGTGCCTTTAGATAAAAACTCATGATACTTTGCTTCAGAATTGCTGCGTCATCACAATTCAAAAAGAAGCGAGACGACGTGTTCCAGGAAACTGGGTCAGTGACTCAAACAGTGGCTGAGATCAAGGAAGAGGGTGTTGAGTTTGAAAAAAAAAAATGGTTTCATGAAATGTGAGAATGGAAAGATTGCCCTCCCACCTTTATCTATTTTAGGTAGTATGCCATTTTGAATATTATGTATAGTTAAATTTCATGCATTAAATATTGCAACTGGAGGGGAATGCCTGCAGAGTACACTTTGACCCAGAATGTATTCATGTTGGCTCTCGTGTAAAAGTAGGAGGCAGCTGCCACACTTTCATGGTCAAGGGCAGGCACATTGCCTCTGCAGAGCTGGGAAGTGGGCCTGGGCTTCTCATGCTGGAACCCTGTGATCTCACCCTGTCTGGTGAGTGTAAACATTGTTTATAAGCTGCCCCTCCGGCTTGAGTCTAGACTCCTGTGTCCAACCATCTGTCCACATCTCCACGTGGCATCTCAACCTCAATAGGCCTCAAAGCAAACTCCTCCTCTGCCCCTACCCTCACTACCTCCCACCATCTCAGTAAAAAGCAGCAGGTGCCCAGGCTGAGAGCTGTCCAGTCACCCTTGCTCAGGCATGAGGCCCCGTAAGGTCTGCCCCTAGCACCTCCCTGACCTCATCTCCTCTATTCTCTCCTATACTGTCTCTTCGCTTACTCAGACCCAGCTTCTTGAACACATCCAATGTGTTCCTCAGGATCCTGCACTGGCTGTCCCCTGGCCTGGAACATAGTCCCCCCAAATAACCCCATGGTTCCTTTCCTTAGGTCCTTGTTTAAATGTCTCGGTGAGGCCTTCCTGTACATGTTTATAACACTCCCCCTCCACACAGAGGTGCAGATTTCCCTTTCTGTTTAAACCTCCTCCACAGAGCTCTCCTCTGCCCCAGTACATAAACTACTATGCATCTTGCCCATGGTCTCTCCCCACATTAACATCAGCTTCAGGAAGGCATGGAGTCTGCTCTGTTTGCTGCCAGCAGGGCCTGGCACTCGGTAAACATTTGTGACAGAAGCTGACAAACAGGGATGCTAGCAAGGCCAAGGCGAGGAGTCCACAAAATTACGCACAGAGGGCACTGGCTCAGATGAGCCATTGCATCACGTCTGAGCCACATCCTGTGGATACAGCTGGCTCTCTGGGAAGAAAGGTCAGGTCTATCCTGAGCCGGGGCTGCTACTATTCTGTCTCCCCGAAAATAAGACAGTGTCTTATATTAATTTTTTCTCCCAAAGTTGCGCTAGGTCTTATTTTCAGGGGATGTCTTATCTTTCCATGCGCTAGGTCTTATTTTCGGAGGATGTCTTATTTTCGGGGAAACACGGTAGGTGGTGACTGTCCCCTTCCCCATCACACTACCAGCTCTAGGCAGGAGCACCTGCACTCCATTAGCAAAATCTGGGCCTACAAAGAACTCACCCTCCCCCTGGTGGCAGTTTCTGAGGCTGCGGGCTCCAAACTGCCAGGAGCAGGAAGGTAATATTAGAATATCTATTTATATTCATGTGCTCTCTATTTTATAATTTGGGGTTCTGAGGTATAGTATAATTTATGGCATGCATGATATCATGTAATTTCAATACATAACAATAAAACAAAGGTAGAAGCCTAAACATGTGAGATCCCAGAAGTCCAGGAGCCAACAAGGTGAGCCATCCTTGCCTGAGTACCCCAGGCTGAGGCCCTTTGCTCAACATCTGACATGTATGAACCAGGAGCCCATAGCACATATGAGGCTTTTGTGCAAATTATAAAAAGATGCCCTTTTTTAAAGACACTACATCTGCCCACTAGGCTACTGACATAGTGTACAGATTTTGTTAGATCCAGTCATTCTGGGATCATCTGCTGGAAAATCTATGAAATCTACGGTGTAAATGGTGCCCCCTCCCCTCAAGCATGTGGTCCTTTCTCAGTACACGTGGATGGCTCAGCGAAGAGGAGTTCACTGCGTGTCATCACAGCCTGAGAGGGTGCAGCTGTTCTGGGTGGTCACAGGACAAAGTGCGGGCCGAGCTCTTACACTGAGGCTCCAGGCCAGAGGCGCCCCCCCTCCTCTCGGAGCCCACGGTCCCGCCTACCTGAGTGTAGCAGCGCAGGAGCAGCCCCTTCTCCTTCAACAGGCGGATGAAGTAGTGGCACAGAGTGGGCTGAAGAGAGCAATCACAACAGTGATGACAGGACCAGAGAAGGCCCCCCACATGGCCCGTGCCGCTCACTGTTCTGGCCCTGTGCCTGCTTCACCTCATGGAATCATCACATCGGCCTTGTGAGGCACAGACCATCATTACCCCATTTCACAGACGAGGAAACTTGAGCACATGGAGGCTGATTATCTTGCCAAAGTCACACAGCTGCCACATTTAGGGTTGGGGTTAGTACAAAAGCAGCCTGTCTCCAGAGACTGGGCTTTTGTACGTATTGTTAACTCATGTAAGCTTCACAACAACCCTTTTCATATAATATTATCAGCTTCATTTTACAAATGGAAAAACTGAGGCTCAAGATCAAAAGAGCAGGGAGTCCTAGCTGGTTTGGCTTAGTGGAGAGAGTCTTGGCCTGTGGACTGAAGGGTCCCGGGTTCACTTCAGGTCAAGGGCACATACCGCAGTTGCCAGCTCAATCCCCAGGGCTCATGTGAGAGGCAACCAATCAATGTGGTTCTCTCACAGCGATGTTTCTCTCAGTCTCTCTCCCTCCTTTCTCCTCTCTCTAAAAGTCAATGAAAAAATATCCTCAGGTAAAGATGAACAACAACAACAACAAAAAAGAGCAGGGAACGAGGGATCAGGAGTCAGAGCCTACGTACTTAATGACCAATTTGTATTTGCCCAAGTGGCCCTTCCCATGCTTGCTGTCCACCAACCTTTCCTGTTCGCCCTGGCAAAAAAGCGCTCACCTTGAATTGCCCAGGATAGAGTTCCTTGGCGAGGGCAAAGAAGGCCTCTGGATGTTTCTGTGGGAGAGAGAGGGAAAGGCAGGTGGGCACCCAGATGCCCCTGGTGACATGAGAGCAGATGACCCCATTTCATCCCCTATTCCCCTCGTTGCAGACAACCTCCCTACACATACCTTGAAGTAGCCAATCTCAAAGATGGCCTCTGGATAGGGAAGATTGTACTTCTGCAGGTTGGCATAGAGGCCCGTGGATGGGGAGCGGAAGTCAGGGATGCCCGCGGCTGGGGGAGGAGGGGCAGAAAGCAATCCATCAGCGACTTGGGCCCCATCTGTACCACAGTGACCCTTCCAAGAGAGGGCCTAGACACGACTCTCCCCGCCCCCCCCCCCCCCCCCCCCCGCCCCGGAAGGTGCTCCTCCAAACCTGGATGAGGGGGCACTTACAAGTGGAGATTCCAGCTCCCACCAAACAGATGACCCTGCGACCTGGAAGAGAGGAGTTTATGCATCATATGACATGGTTTGCTTGGCCCCAAAATAACACCATCTACCATAGCCTCTGACATTGTCCACTTGGTCCCAGGCCCTGGGACTAACATTTCAGATGCATGAATGGTCCTCCGAACCATCTTGAGGCAGGTGGTGTTAATATCCCCATTTTACAGATGAGGAAACCAAGGCTCAAAGAGGGGAAGCAATTACACAGTTGACTGATGAAGAGCCAGTATGGGGACAGAGAATCTACTGTTGAAATTATAATAACTTAGTCCAGAAAAGGCCACTTGTAGAGAAGCTTCTGCCCTAACTAGACCTAGACACACATAGATCTTTTTTTAAAATATGTTTTTATTGATTTTAGAGAGAGAGGAAGGGAAAAGTATAGAGAGATAGAAACAACAATAAGAAACATCGATTGGTTGGTTGCTTCCTACATGACCCCTATTGGGATCGAGCCTGCAACCCAGGCATCTTCCCTGGCCGGGAATCAAATGTGGTGACCTTCTGGTTCATGGGTGAGCAACATCAGCTGGGTGAGACAAAACTAGATCTTTAAAATAAATAAATAAATAAATAGATAGATAGATAGATAGATAGATATAGTTATTGATTTCAGAGGCAAAAGAGAGGGAGAGAGAGATAGAAACACCAGTGATGAGAGAGAATCACTGACTGGCTGCCTTCTGCACACTCCCTACTGGGGATTGAGCCCGCAACCCAGGCATGTGCCCTTGACTGGAATCAAACCTGGGACCCTTCAGTCTGCAGACCAATGCTCTATCCACTGAGCCAAACCAACCAGGGCCAAAACTAGATCCTAATGAGGAGGCTAGAGTTGAGGGTTTCCCCAGAAAGTTTTTGGTTATAGGGAACTCATCTTTTGGACACAATCCCTCCACCTATTTCTAGCATAGTATACACATTTCTTTCCTCTGTAATCAAACACATTAGTCTGGCAATTTCCAGGTGAAGACCAAAGATTTGCCACTCTCAAACCTGATGAACAGGAGTGGATAACAGATTCAAATCCTGGCTCTCCTGCTCACCATCAGGGCGTCTCAGTTCAGATCCCTACTCTGACTTCAGTTTCCTGCTGTTAAATGGGCATAATTACACACTGACTTCACAAGGCTGCTGAGAGAATGAATGTACTTTCTGGGCAAACACTATACAGTTGACCCTTGAACAATGTGGGGTTTTAATAGAGATGACCCCACCATCCCAGCATGTTGAAAATCCATGTATAACTTTTGATTCCCCTAAAACTTAAAACTACTAATAGCCTACTGTTGACTGGAATCCTTCCCTATAACATAAAGAGTTAATTAATATATATTTGTATGCTACATATATTACATACTGTATTCTTATAATAAAGTATGCTAGAGAAAAGAAAATTATTAAGAAAATCGTAAGGAAGAGGAAATACATTTATATTATTTATTGAGAAAAATCTGCATATATGTGGACCCATGCATTTCAAACTTGTGTTGTTCAAGGGTCAACTGTGTATATGTTTGCTGTTACTCCTGAGTCAATTGTATTAAATTTCTTGAGATCCATGATTTGTATACATATAAGCACGTTGTTCCCTATATTTACCAGCTTTCAGAAAAAAAGATAGGAAGATATGACAGGGATCGAATAGCCCAGTTGCCTCTTTAGCTACTGGCTGGCAGGCAGCCCTGCCATGCAGCCCTGGCATCTGCCTATCAGCTGATGGGCAGACACAAGTGAAGCCCTGTGAACCAGGCCCCTCTAGGGTATCCTGTCCAAAGAGGACAGTGGGGGAAGGTTATGGGGGAAGGAGCCTGTGCTCTGGATTCATAGGGCCTGGGGTTGAGTCTTGACTCTGCCTCTAATGAGCTGTGTGACCCTGCAACAAGTCACAGCCTCTCTGCCTCAGTTTCCTCCTCTGTCCCGATCACTCCCGTAATGACCTCACAGGTATAATGATGTGAAAATCAAATGAAAGGAAGCCTGCCAAGTGCTTGGCCCAGCACTCGGCACACAGTAAGGACTCAATTATTATTTATTTATTATTTGTTATTATTTATTATTATCCCCTCATAGGCCCATTATCCTAAAATTCAGGTGCAGGAGAATGGAGGAACACTATAGTCACTGCCCACTCACCCGAGCCAGAAGCTGGCTATAGCCAGCTGCCTGGCCTAATCAGGAGAGGGAGGCTCAGGGTGGCAGCCTGGCTACCCGAGGAGGGAGCCAGCAGCAGCTGGAAGACAGGGAGACTGAAGAAGATGTCCTCAAAAGAGGTCTGTTCAGGACCCTCAAAGGGTTGATTGTTCTAGTTGAGGACTGCCAAGGGCTTGGTTTCTCATACTCGGGTGACCTCAACTCATAGCAAGAAATATAAACTACACGGTGACCCAGCAAAGAGGCATTTACACACCACAGCTGAAAGAAGCTTCCTGTAATAATTAATAATCACAGGGAACACTCACACAGCTCTTGCTATGCTCCATGCATTTACATCTTTATTATTTTTTAACCCCTAATAACTTTATAAGGAAATACTATTATCTTCATTCTATCAAACAGGCCTGGCCAATCAGAGTGCAGTCATTAGCTCAGCAACAGAGATGTGACCTAGGTCTGGTCAATCAGAGACATGGTGATTAAGAACGTGACCCAACCTGCCCCAGCTGAAGCCAATCTCTGCTCTTTTGCTTGAACCCCTGGGAGAAAGATGCTCTCTTCAGTGGGAGCTGCGAAGCTGGTGGAACTTGCATCTGGAGCTGCCGGGAGCTGCCTTTACCCCAACGCGGAAGAACCAGTGCCAGAGAGGGTTACGACTTTTGAGAACATGGAAGCCCCTGGACCCAGGCCATGCTTCAAGCTAGATTTTAGTTAAGGGTTTGAATAGGCTTCTTTTTTGGTATAAACCAGTTTGAATTAGGTTTCTTGTTACTTGCAGACAACAGTTGTGAATAGTTCAAGTAGCCGGGAGCTGAGAAGTCACTCGGGAGCCAGGAGGGGGGCGTGGCCCAGTGCAGGAGGGGAAGGACTTACAGCGTTCACTCAGCATGTAGTGGGCCACCCCTTCCAGGGTTAGGTTGTCCAGCAGACGCTCCTTCTGGGTGCCTAGGCCCAGCGTCTGGGAGAATAAATTTCGCAGGAAGTCCACTGGCCAAAAAGAAGAGAGACAGAGAGGGCACTCAGTCTGAGTGCACCGAGGCCCAGAGCAACCCTGCCTTCCCCCAACTCAAGGATCCATGCTGGATCCAGCCAGGGGGCACCAGGTGTTGGACTGAACCATTATTACATACCTGAATGTCATCCCTGATGGAGGTGAGGGGTATCACCCAGACTCCTGCCCTAAACCGCTCCCACCTCAGCCCCCGCCGAATGAGGCTCCTAAGGACGATACTCACTCTCTGCTTCTCCACCAGCTGCTCCTTCCTCAGAGTCTGAATCTGAGTCCTGAAAGGGGTGGGGGTAGGGTGGCCAGGCCCAAGAAGTGGAATTAGAAAGTGGGGGTGGGGTGACACCCCAGTTTTGGGAAAGGCTCTGGGTTGGGATATGGGCCCAAGGAAGTGGGGGGCTGTGGTGAGGGACAGCTCTGGGGGCCAGTGTTTGGGCTCTGGGTCAGGGTGCCTGCACATGGCCTGTCTCTCCCAAGGAGTATAATCTCATATGAGTGACTTTGCTTTTCTGAGTCTCAGAGATCCTCATCTTTGGAGGTGGGTGTCAGAGGGCAGCTACCTCAGTGGGCTATTGTGAGATGAAATGAGTTATCTATGTGAAGTGCCTAGACAGCTCTGACTATTGCTATTTCATATGCCAAATCCACATTCTCCCTTGCATCCCCTCTTGTCCCCTGTAGCATGCACCTGCCGCCCCCTCCCGGCACCCCTGCAGCCCTCCTCACCAAAGTCATCCATAACGATGTAATAATGCCAGTGAAAACACTTCAGTCCTCACCCTCTGGTCCTCAGCCCTTCTGCTGGAAACCCTTACTGCCTTTCCAATCCCTCCATTTCCTTATCCACTCCTCCCCTTAGCCAGGCTCTCCAACTGCAGATCCCGGGCCTTGCCTGCTTTCTCTCTCCACCTTTCCTGGGATACCTGCCTCATCCATGCCAATGGCCTTTGTCCAGTCACTGATGATGCCACCTCTCTGATCCAAGGTTCCCATGGCTTCCTGGATGCCTGTCTCTAAGGGACCCAAGGCTCCTCATCCCCCACACCTCCCCGTGTCCTATACTGGCCTCAGCATCTCCCCCAAACCTGTTCCTCTTCCTGGGCCCCATCTCAGTGTGGCCTCCATCTCCCAGTTTGCCAGATGCATCCAGCCTTCCTCCCCTACCCTCCTGCCATAATGTGTCCCCTCTTCAGTGCTCCACCTGGTCCAGCCTGTCCTCTTCTCTTGGGGGCTCTGCCCCAGCCCCCTACCTAGGGTCTCAGCCTCAGTCTCCACCTCTGATCTACCCACTAACCTCTGTGTGATGGCCTATCTGGGCTGGCCCCCTCCACTTCACAGGCCCTTCTCTTTGGTGTCTTCCAGTCTAATAATCTCATCACCAACATCTGCAAGGTCCACCTGAAGTCAGCTCCACAAGGCGGGGTTTTTCATTTCACTACTGGATGTCAGCACCAATAGCAGGGTCTGGCACCGGCAAGAGCTCCAGCACTATCCCCCACTGAAAGAAGGAATACCTGTGTGCTAGGCCCGGGCTGGGCCCGGCAATGGTGAAACAATTCTGACCAACTCACTCTCCTGCTTGAAACCCCTTCCCCCTATCACCCTGAATATGAAACGCATCATTTTCTCACAGCTTGGTCATACCATAGCACAACGCTGCACCTTGCATCTTCTGCAGAACAAGATACTAGAGACCCACCTCATTCTAAGCAGCTGCATAGTGTTGTATTGTAAGGAGGCCCCATAGTTCACTTCACCTGTCTACTGATAGTTTTGCCCTATTATGGACAAAGCTGTAATTTAAGCCTTGAATCTCTCTGAGACTGAGAATCCTTTTAAACATTACACCCCTTTCTCTGACAATGGCCCTGCTTTGGGAGCAGGTGAGGGAGAAGCCCTGGCCTGACAGGAAGCTCTTGTGCTTCCTCTGCCGTGCACCTGTAAGGGGCTCTAATCACAGCTTCTGCTTTGCCTACAACTGGCGCCATTTAGCTGCTGGAGGTGGGGATGGAAGCCTGGCATTCTCAAGGGCCCTGCCCAGCATGTGGAAGCTAGAGGTGTTCGAAGGGCTTTCAGGCCTCTGTGTCTACCTCTCACCGAAGCATCTGGAAGGCAGTGTGAGTGTGCTGTGGCTGGCAAACCCTTTCCAGCTCTTCTGGCTGAGGGACAGAGAACAGGATACCTAACAACTATGCCTCAAATTCCTCATCTGTAAAATGGCCACAATAGGCCTTGACTCCCACAGGAATGCTGGGAAGATGAAATGAGATGATGCCCATAAAGCACTAAGCAGAGTTACCCTGCTGAAATTCTCAATAAATGCCAGCTATGCATACAATTAGCTGCCCACCCATCACCACCTACTGAACATATAACACTCTTCCAGGCTGTCAGGTCTTTGCATGCCTAGCTGCACCCTCTGTGTGAAATACCATTTCTCACCTCGCCTAAGAAAATTCAAAGTCACTCTTCACTGCAAATGTGTCCACCTCAATCTGGCTCCTAGACCAGCCCCTCCAGAGAAGGGACTGATTGGAATATTTGTGACACCACAAGTTTTCTCTAGTGCCCTGAGCTATTTTCATAATCACCCTGTAGGGTCATTTTCTAGTCACTTGTCCAATAGATCCATGAGTTCAGGGACCAAGTGGGATGCCTGTCTTTCCAGGAACAGCATAAACGAGGTTCAGAAGGGACTGGGAGAAGGGGGGGACAAGGAAAGAGGAAAGTTCAGGAGTGCAGGCCTGGGGTTGAGCTGCACACCCTTCTCTGATAGTCCTCAGCAACCCCCATCCCCCAGGAAGCTGAACTGGGAGGTGGGGGCGAGGGACTGGGGCTATGAGCTGAGGGCCCTGGAGTAACTCTCCCTTGGGTCACCTCCCCCCAGGGGAGTGGGGTGTGGGAACAAGTCCATCTCTCTCCTTCCCTCCACCCTTCTCCCGTCTCACCTGAGCCTCCTGCACCTTCCCTGCCTGGGTCTCCAGAGGGTCAGAGGCTGGGGGAGGAGGGGGAGCAGATATGGTTACAGTGGGGGGGATGATTAAGGAGTTATGAAGGGCTTCAAGCAGGGGGCCGGGGCAAGAAGACCCAACAAACTAGTTATACTGGTGTATGGGGATGGAGGTAAAAATGAAAGAGAGGGAGGGAGAGGGTGGGGAAAAGCAGAGTGGAGAGTGCTGGGAGGAGAGGTGGTTAGGGAGGGACAAAGGCGCTGAGACATGAAGACTTAGTAGAGGGAAGAGAAAGTAAAGGATTCAGGGCATGGAGGACACCTTAGGTGGGATTAGGACGGACATAATAGTGTGTGTATGTGTGTGTGTGTGTGTGTGTGTGTGTGTGTGTGTGTGTGTGTGTGTGTGTTAGGGGAGGGTTAGGTTTACCAACAGTGGCAAGTTTAGAAAGGAAGAGAAAAGGTAAGAGATACTCGTACTGGAAGTGAGAGGAGGGGCGGTGGGAATGGTTTGTTTAGGGGGGAGGCACAGGAACTAGAGGGAAGATATAGGAGGGAACACCAGGGGTTCCCTAGCATCTTACAATTCCCCCTAACAACCAGGTACCCTTAGCAACCGGGACAGCAACGACCTAAGTCTTTAGCAACGAGGGTCCTTGGCAACCAAGATACAAGAAACATCGATGATTAGTAACTTGGAAGACAAAGTAAACGGACCCTTAAAATCTCGCGACCCAGAAACCCACCAACTTAGACATACGGATAGCTTAGCAACAGCCCCAGAACTCCACTCCTCCCCATACAGCCCCCATCTCCTCCCCACCTCGCCCGCCCAGGGCCCGGGGGCCTGCAGATCTCAGGCCCCGGCGCGGCCCGGCCCGAACCTCCCACCGGCCCCGACTCACGGTCCGGCTCGGCCATTAGCACGGGGCGGGGGCCCTCGGGGCTGTCACCGACTGCTCGGCTGTGACGGCACCGGAAGCACTAGGGGCAGAGATAGAACAGAGGACTACAACTCCCAGCAGCCAGCGAGGCCGCACCCAGGCTTTCCCACAACCTCCGGCGCGCCCTTCTTAGATAACAATAAACAAACAGCCCTAGCCGGGCTGGCTCAGTGGATAGAGCCTGCGCCTGCAGACCGAAGGGTCCCGGGTTCCATTCCGGTCAAGGCCACGTTTCTCCCCGCCCGGCCGAGTGCAGGAGGCAACCCATCAATGTGTTTCTCTCACATCGCTCTCTCTGTCTTTCCCTCTCTCTCATTCTCTCTAAAAATCAATGGAAAAATATTCTTGGGTAAGCATTAACAACAACAACAAAATAATAATAATAAAAAGAATAAGCAAGCGAGGTCCTGACTACGAGTCCCAAAGTGCCCTGCGCGGATAGGTGGCCATGTTGACAAAGGGCGCCTGGAAAATGTGGGAACCGGTAGAGAGCGGAGTCTACATGAAAAATCTGATTGGCCACGGAGTGATATGGGGCGGAGCGTGGGCGATTTAGCCTGCTCTGATTGGGTGGATCAGGGGGAGTGTTGGGGAATTCCCTGCAGGGCGGAAGCGCCGGAGCTCCAGCAGAGCCCAGCGACTGGCCCGCGGCCACGGGGCCCTGAGACCGGAGGGCCATGGCCGGGGTCGCGTGCTTGGGGAAAGCTGCGGATGCCGACGAATGGTGCGACAGTGGCCTGGGCTCTCTGGGTCCGGATGCAGCGCCCCCCGGAGGACCGGGATTGGGCGCGGAGCTGGGCCCGGGGCTGTCGTGGGCGCCCCTGGTCTTTGGCTACGTAACTGAGGATGGGGACACGTGAGTGAACCTTAGGCTGCCCTCCCTTCTAAATCTGACTCTGATGCTTGACTTCCTGTCCTCTAACCCACAGGTCCTAAGCTTTTATAAAGTCAGTTTCCTACCCAACTGATTCTAACCCACAATTTCTGACCTCCTTTACTGAACACTGGTTCTCAGAATTCCACATGCCTTTCCAGTGATCCCCAAACTGGATTTGACCTTCCTGACCCCAGCCCTGAGACCCTTATTATCAAATAGTAGCTCAGGCTGGCACCTCCTGACCTCTAACCTCCACAAATATTTATGATTTTTGACCCTTCGCTCCTGATTTATGAGCATTAGACCTTGATTTCTGAAATAATTACTTGGCCTTTGACTAAGATCCCACATTCTGAATATTAATCTTCACATCTCACATTCAAAGAGAAATTTTGTAAGTTCCTTGAGAGCAGGGATTCATCTGTTAAGCAAATATCCATCAAACACAACTACGTTTCAGGCCGTTTTAGGTGCTGGTGATAAGGCAGTGAAGAAAGAAACAAAAACGTATGCGTTGTGGAGTATACATTGGAGAGAGGGGTTACACAGACAGAAGGACTGACAGGAAGAGATAGAGAAAAGGAAGGAAGGGGAAAAAGAGGAAAGAAGAAAAAGACACAGAAAGATGCAGAGTAAGAGAGAGAAAAGAAAGACAAAAAATGACAAAAATGAAAGAGACTGAAAAATGGAATGCCAGAGTATAGGAAGTTCTTCGGAGAAAAATCAAGCAGGATAATGAGACAAGATTATTTGGAGAGGGCATTCCGGGTAAGAGGGTAGAACAAAAAACAAAACAAAACAAAAAAACAACCAATGTTGGAAAGGCCCAAGTGAGGGACTATACCTGGGGTTTTTTGTGCGTTGTTTTCTGCTATATCCTCAGCAACTGAACAGAACCTAACCCATAGGTGGCACTCAATAAACATTGATCTTTTCTCAAAGAACCCAGTTGGCTTCATTAATTTTCTCTTTTCTTTGGCTTTCTATTTTATTGATCTCGGTTCTGACTTTCATTATTTCCTTTCTTCCTCTTACTTTGGGTTTGATTTATTTTTACTCTTCTAGTTTCTTAAGGAGGTCACTGATTTCAGACCTTTCTTCTCTGTGACAAGTGTTCTGTGCTATAAATTTCCTCAAGCGCTGCTTTAACAGTATCTCACAAATTCTGACATGTTGTGTTTTGACTTTTATTAAATTCAGTATACTTTATAACTTCTCTTTTGATTTCTTCTTTGGTCAATGGATTATTGAGAAGTATGTTATTTAGTTTCCAGATATTTGGAAGAATTTCCAGATACCTTTCTTTTTATTGATTTTTAATTTAATTCTATTGTAGACTGGTAATAGACTTTGTATGACTTGAATCCTTTTAAATTTATTAAGACTTGTTTTATGGTTCAGAATATTGTGTGCACTTGAAAAGAATGTATATTCTGCTGTTGTTGGGTATAGTGTTCCATTCCTCTCTGTCCCTGATGATTGTTGTCTAGTTCTATCAATTATTGAGAGAAACTTATTGAAATCTCTAATAAGAATTGTGGATTTGTCTATTTCTCCTTGTATTTCTATCAGGTTTTGCTGCTTGTAATTGGACACTATTATCAAGGGTACAAATATTTATAATTCTGTCCTCTTGATTCATTGATCTCTTTCTCATTATGAAATAACCTTGGTCAGAAATCTACTTTGATATTAAAATACTCCCTCCTGCCGAAACCGGTTTGGCTCAGTGGTAGATAGAGCGTCGGTCTGTGGACTGAAAGATACCAGGTTCGATTCCGGTCAAGGGCATATACACTGGTTGTGGGCACATCCCCGGTAGGGGGTGTGCAAGAGGCAGCTGGTTGATGTTTCTAGCTCTCTATCTCTCTTCCTTTCTCTCTGTAAAATATCAATAAAATATATAAAATAAAATAAAATAAAAGTATTACTTCTTAAAAAAAAAAAATACTCCCTCCTGCTGGGCTGGGTGGCTCAGTGATTGAGCGTTGACCAGGAGATCATGATTTGATTCTTGGCCAGGGCACATGCCTGGGTTGTGGGTTTGATCCCCAGAGTGGGGCACAGAAGACAGCATAATCAGTGATTTTCTCTCAAAATTGATGTTTCTTCCTTCTTCTCTGAAATCAATAAATATAAATATATATATATTATAAAATACTCCCTCCTGCTTTTTTTTGACTGACCAGTATTAGTATGCTACATCTTATTCCACCCTTTGATATTTTTATTTTTACTTTTTTTTTTTTAAATAAGTTTTTATTGTTCATATTATTACAAATGTTCCTTCCCCCCCCCCCCCCCCACCATTGCTCTCCACCAGGTTCCCACCCCACCCTCTGCCCTTTCCCCACTCCCCATTGTCCTCATCCATAGGTGCACAGTTTATGTTCAGTCTCTTCCCACGCCCCCCTCTCCCCTTTTCCCCAAGAATCGTCAGTTCACTCCCCTTCCATACCTCTGATTCTATTATATTCAACAGTTAATATTGTTCATCAGATTTTTTTTTAATTTCCTTGTTTTTTAGATTCACTTGTTGATAGTTACGTATTTGTTGTTCATAATTTTTATCTTTGTTTACTTTCTCTTCTGAAAGAACCCCCTTCAGCAATTCATATAATTCTGGTTTGGTGGTGATGAACTCCTTTAGCTTTTTTTTTTATTAGTGAAGCTCTTTATCTGACCTTCGATTCTGAGTGATAGCTTTGCTGGATAGATTATCTTTGGCTGTAGGTTCTTACTATTCATCACCTTGAATATTTCTTGCCATTCCCTTCTGGCCTGCATGGTTTCTGTTGAGAAGTCAGCTGACAATCGTATAGGTGCTCCTTTATAGGTAACTACCTTCTTTGCTCTTGCTTCTTTTAATATTCTCTCTTTGTCTTTTGCTCTTGGAATTTTAAGTATGATTTGTCTTGATGTGGTCCTCTTTGGATTCCTTTTGTTTGGAGTTCTGTGCGCTTCCTGGACTTGTAAGTCTAATTCTTTCCCCAGGTGGGGGAAGTTTTCTGTCACTATTACTTTCAGTATGTTTTCGATATCTTGCTCTTTCTCATCTTCTGGGACCCCCATAATTCTGATGTTGGTTCGCTTGAAGTTGTCCCAGAGGTTTCTTACATTATCTTCAATTTTCTGGATTCTCTTGCCTTCTAGCTTCTGTGGAGGAGTGTCTTCTGGTTCTTTATGTTCCAAATCTTTGACTTGATTCTTGCGATCTTCCCTTCTGTTTTTAGGACTCTGTAAAATATTTTTTATTTCAGACAATGTATTCTTTATTTCTTGTTGATCCCTTATCATTTCTTGATGACTCCTTATTAATTCTAGTTGATCTCTTTTCATATCCTCATAGGTCTTATCCATCTTTTCTAGGAAATTCTTGAATAACCTTATAAGCGTAGATTTGAACTCTATATCCAGTCGCTTTTTGTCCTCCATTTCTTTCATTTGTGATCTATTTCATTGTCGCATTTCGCAGCTACAGATGGGGCAGAGTTTCATGGTGGAGCCTGCAGCCTTGGCTTCCGTCAGCCCCGCCCTATGCGGGTTCTTCAGTGCTCGCTGCAGGCGCCTCTGAGAGAAAGGTGCCCTCGATTTTCGCCTGCTGCCAAACAGTCTATGCTCTCCCCCAATGAGCCCGGTATTGGGGTTCATTTCAGTTGGAAGTGGAGTTGGAGGTGGCGTTCAGAGCAGTCTGGAGCCCCAGTCTCCTTCCCGCCGGGCAATCCCGCGGCACAGCCGGCCGGCCCTTCTCTGCGCTCACTGCGCGCCGCCGCTGGGACCTCCTCTCGCCGCTCCCCCGGGTTCCGCCTTACAGCCCGGCTCCCTATGGCTGAGCCTGGGTCCCCGGGGTCTGGCCTAGGCCTGGGGTTCAGAGCAGTCGGGGGCCCATCACAGTCAGAGTTTTATCTCTTTCCCACTAGGGAACGCCCGCCAGGCACTCAGCCTCCCTCCTTTCCGGCTCCATCCTCTCCGCGCCGCGTGTCTCCGTACCTTTGGCTTTTCCAGCTCCTCCGCGCTTCCTTCTGGTTTCCTCCTTGCTTCTCGTTGTAGAATTTCCAGTCAGTCAACTTTCCTGTAGTTCTGAGTAATGTCCGTTTTATATTTTAGTTGTATTTTATTGAAATTGTTGTGTGAGGCTGCAGCTAGGTATTCACCTGGGCGCAGCCATCTTGGATCCCCCTTTATTTTTACTTTTTAAAATCCTCACCCAAGGATATTGATTTGAGAAAGAGAGAGGAAAGGAGAAAGAGAGAGAAACATTGATCAGTTGCCTCCCATATGTGCCTTGACTGGGATCAAACCCAAAAGTTAGATATGAGCCCTGACTGGGAATTGAACCTGCAACCTTTTGGTGTACAGGACGACACTCCAACCAACCGACCAACCTGGCCAGGGCCACCCTTTTATTTTTAATGTATTTTAAAATATTTATATTTAAAGAGTTTCTTGCCGAAACCAGTTTGGCTCAGTGGATAAAGCATCGGTCTGTGGACTGAAGGGTCCCAGGTTCGATTCCAGGCAAGGGCATGTACCTGGGTTGTGGGCACATCCCCAGTACGGGGTGTGGAAGAGGCAGCTTATGGATGTTTCTCTCTCATCGATGTTTCTAACTCTCCATCTCCCTTCCTTTCTGTAAAAAATCAATAAAATATATTTAAAAAAACAACAACAACAAACTTTTGGCCGAAACCGGTTTGGCTCAATGGATAGAGCATTGGCCTGTGGACTGAAAGGTCCCAGGTTCGATTCCGGTCAAGGGCATGTACCTTGGTTGCAGGCACATCCCTAGTGGGGGGGGGGGTGCAAGAGGCAGCTGATAGATGATTCTCTCTCATCGATGTTTCTAACTCTCTGTCCCTCTCACTTCCTCTCTTTTATTGACTTTATTAAAAAAATCAATAAAATATATTTTAAAAAACCCTTTTGGAATATGTATGATACAATTATAATGAACTGTTTTAATGTTCTTGTTTGCTAATTCTAATATCTGGATCATTTTGGGTCAACTTCAGTTGATTGATTATTCTAATTATGGGTCATGTGTTCCTGCTTCTTTGTGTGCCTGATGATCTTTGATTAAATGCCAGATATTATAGATTTTAACTTGTTAGGCTGGTTAATTTTGTGTTCCTATAAATATTCTTGAGTATTATTCTGGGATACAGCTAAATTACTTGTAAGTAGTTTGATCCTTTTGGGTTTTGCTTTTATGATTAGATGGGTCTTGAACAGTCTAGCTAGTACTCATTATTCCCCATTACTGAGGTAATTATTGAGGCAGTCAATCGAAGGCGTCACCGCATTTGTTTCCTGTCTCACACTGTCATTCATTGTATGATACATTGTTCAGTATTTTGAAAACTGTTGCTTTATATTCTACTAGAGGCCCAGTGCACAAAATTTGTGCACTGGAGGAGGGGCGTGGTCCCTCAGCCCGGCCTGTGCCCTCTCACTGTCTGGGAGCCCTCGGGAGATGTCTAACTGCCACAGAGGTGGGAGAGGCTCCCGCCACTGCTGCTGCACTCGCCAGCTGTGACCCCGGCTCAAGACTTCTGGCTGAGCGGTGCTCCCCCTGTGGGAGTGCACTGATCACTAGGGGGCAGCTCCTGCACTGAGCATCTGTCCCCTGGTGATAGTGCATATCACAGTGACCAGTCATTCCACTGTTTGATCCATTTGCATTTTTATTATATAGGACTAGAGGCCTGATGCATGCAATTCATACACGGGGGCGGGAGGGGGAGGCCCTCAGCCTAGCCTACACCCTCTCCAATCTGGGACCCCTCAGGGGATGTCTGACTGCTGGTTTAAACTGGCAGTCGGACAGCCCTCTCATAATCTGGGACTGCTGGCCCCCAACCACTCGCCTGCCTGGCAGCCTGATTACCCCTAACCACTCCCCAGTCAGCCTGATTGACACCTAACTGCTCCCCTGCTGGCCTTATTACCCCCAACTTCCCTCCCTTGCTGGCCTAGTTGCCCCTAACTGCCCTCCCCTGCTGGCCTGGTACCCCCAATTGCCCTCCCTTGCCGGACTGGTTGCCCCCAACTGCCCTCCCCTACTGGTCTAGTCGCCCCCAACTGCCCTTCCCTGATGGCCTGATTGCTCCCAACTGCTCTCCCCTGCCAGCCTGGTTGTCCCCAACAGCCTTCCCTTGCAGGCCTGGTTCCCCCCCCCAAAAAAAAAATGCCCTCCACTGCAGGGCTGTTCTTCCCCAACTGCCCTCCCCTGCAGACCTGGTCGCCCCCAACTGCCCTCCCTTGCCGGCCTGGTCACCTCCAACTGCCCTCCCCTGCTGGCCACCTAGTGTGAGGGTGTGAGGGTCAATTTGCATATTATCTCTTTATTATATAGGATGTTTTATCTAATTTGTTCGTTGATTCATATGGGAGAGAAATCTGGTCCATGTTTGAGAGGAGGCAGAAGTCCTACTTAATAAATATTGATTAAATAAATTTTCTATATTAACTCAGACCTGACCTTCTCAGATTCCTGACATCTGGTTCTAGAACCAGATGTTATAATGGCTAGCACAGTTTATTGAATGAGTGAATGCAAGAGTACTTGACCTGTGCCTTCTGACCCCTGTTCTTGTTCTCAGGGCACTGCACTTGGCAGTGATTCATCAGCACGAGCCCTTCCTGGACTTCCTCCTGGGCTTTGCAGCTGGTACTGAGTACCTGGACCTGCAGAATGACCTGGGCCAGGTGAGCCACTGGAGATAGTGCAGGGCTTGGGGCCAGGATTCTCAGTGTGACTGCTAACACTTGCGCTCTGCTCCTGCAGACAGCCCTGCACCTGGCAGCCATCCTGGGGGAGGCATCCACGGTGGAGAAATTGTATGCGGCGGGCTCCGGGTTGCACGTGGCAGAGCGTGGGGGCCACACAGCGCTGCACCTAGCCTGCCGCATGGGGGCACACGCCTGTGCTCGAGTGCTGCTCCAGCCCCGCCCCCAGCACCCTAGGGAAGCCACCCGTATCTACCTCGCTCAGGACTCTGACCATACCCCTGGCACTGACCACACTGCTGTTGCGCTGAACCCCAAACCTGACTTGGAGAAGGAGGAGGATGAGAATGAGGACTGGAAGCTGCAGCTAGAGGCTGAAAACTATGAAGGTGAGGGTCCACAGTACTGAGGTCCAGGTGACAGCACCGGCTGTGGGCTCAGCTCTCCTGACTTAATCCCCAGCCCCTTGGAAAATAATACTGAGGCTTCAGGGATCCAGGCATTGGGCCCAGAGACTCCTGCCCAGGCCCCGGATTATTGAGAATTCGCTGTGTGGGACCCAGAACCCCTACCTGGAGGCTCCAGATCACTGGGAACCCACGGGCCTAGAGCTATTAGGTCAAATCCAGTGGTTGGGCCCAGCTTCCCCAGCTGGAAGGCACAACTCACCAGGCACAACACATCCTGGACATCTCCCTACCCCCAACCATGGGCCCTAGCCCACCTAGGATAAGGGAACTCAAGCTCAGGCCTTCTGAGAAACTGGTAGCCCAGGCTCCAAAAGATTGGCACCGGAGTGGTGCAGACCTCTTCAGCCAGTTCTCATGGGAAAAAAGACTGTCTACCAGGCCCTGGTGTCTGAGTCTCAGCTCTCCCATCTCTAAGCCCAACCTCTTGGGACTGGCCCCTTCAGTAAGGGACTGAGCTCACAGGTCCTTCCACCACTCAGGACCTAGGAATTTGAGTTTCAGGTTCTTTGTGAAGTAAGACCAGAGACTCAGCTCTTCTGGTCCCAAGATCCAGGCCTCCTGTCCGGAGCCCCAGGCTCTTCGGCCATAAGCCCCCAACCTAGGTATTGGCACTGCCAGCCAGTTCCAGTTCCCGAGACTTAGGCACTTGCAAGGCAGATGCCTCTTTGACACCCAGGAATTCAGGAGCCAGACCCACCTTGGTCACCCTCCTGCCACAAAGCCCTCCCCCGAGACTGTGGCATTGGGGGCCCAGATCCATCAGCCCCTAGTCTAACGTCACTCTGTCCTCAGGCCATACCCCAGTCCATGTGGCCGTTATCCACAAAGATGCAGAGATGGTCCGACTACTCTGGGAGGCCGGAGCTGATCTGAACAAGCTGGTGAGCCTCTAGGGAGAAGGTGTGGCAGGGTGGGGTTGTCTCGGAGTGGAGCAGGGCCCCTCTGACCTCTGCTGTACCTCCAACAGGAGCCCACGTGTGGCCGCAGCCCCCTGCACTTGGCAGTGGAGGCCCAAGCAGCTAATGTGCTGGAGCTTCTCCTGAAGGCAGGTGCTGACCCTGCTGCCCGCATGTACGGTGGCCGCACCCCACTGGGCAGCGCCATGCTCCGGCCCAACCCCATCCTCGCCCGCCTCCTCCGTGCACATGGAGCCCCTGAACCTGAGGATGAGGACGACAAGCCCGGACCCTGCAGCAGCAGTAGCGACAGTGACAGCGGGGATGAGGGCGTGAGTCAGGAGGAAAAACTGGGTGGCTCAGCTGGGGGCTCAGGGTAGATGGGCCGGTGGGAAGGGGGACAAGACATTCAGCAGCACATTGAGACTGACCGTGGGCTGCTGCGGTTTGAGAACTCGGGCAGGAGTGCAAATGGTGCAGGTGACCTGGACAGGGGCTGCAGGGAGAACTCGGGCTGCGGTGGTGGAGAATTAAGGCAGCGGCAGAGGGAGAACTCGGGTGGAGGCAGAGAAATGACTCAGTTGTAGGTACTGATAGGTAGGCAGCGGGAGCAGCAGTGGGGAGTGATGTTGTGGAGCAGGAGGAGAACTCTGGCTGTGGGAAGATGGCCTTGGGCAACAGTGATTCGAACAGAGGCTGCTGTTTGGGAGAACCCTCGGGCAGGGGTGATGTTGCGTGGTGGGAGCTGAGGAAACTGGGTGAAGGCGGGGGGAGGGGGGAGACGTCAGGGGCTGTGGCTGCTGAAGAACTGGAGAAGCAACAGCTCCAGCTCCAGCAGGAGCGGGGAGACACCGGTGACCCTGAAAATGGTGGATGGAGAACTAAGCAGGGAAGTTGAACTCCGAGTGGGGAAACGTGGGTTTCAAGGCAAGCCCAGATCTTAGGGCGGGTGGGAGGAACTGGGCAGCGGGCAAGGTGCAGCCATCTGAGCCCCTGCCTGGCCTCCTCTGCCCCCAGGATGAATATGACGACATCGTGGTCCACAGTGGCCGGAGCACAGCCTGGCCACCTCCCCCCCCAGCTTCAAAACCTCTCCCTGATGACCCCATCTGACCTGATAATAGAATTTCTAATTAAATAAAATCCTAGTTCTGACGATCAGAGACTAGATTAACTATTGCCTTCCCAGTCCTCCAGTTTGCTCCTGGGCTCTGTCCCTCCAAAATTGAGGGCTACGCAGTAAGCCGGGCGGTTTTCTTTGTGCTTTATTCACTAAGAAGGGTGGGAGTGGGTTTCGTGGGTGGCAGAGTGTTTCCTGAGTCAGTCTAAACCCATCCCCTTACTCAGCGAAGACTTGGCCCCTCAGGCCTGGTTCCAAGGCACACCCTTCTCCCACTCCTGCAGGTGGGGAGAGGCAGGGGCGCCAGATGAGGTGGGGGTTTTCGGGGTCACTAGTCCTAAGCCATAGGGTGTGCAGGAAGGAGGACATGAGGTCGAGTCAGCCCTCCCTCCTGAGCTCCTCCCCCAGCCTCTCCGCTGCCTTCTTCAGCTCCTCTCTCACGTGCTCCAGCCGCTCCACATCCTGCTCCTGGTGGGATCAGAAATGGATGATCAGCGCTCACCTCCACAGGCAGGCCACGGCAGCCATGATCGTGGGCCATGGCAGCAGTCACCTCAGTCATGGGCTGTGATGGTGACCACAGTGGTTGCTATAACCCTGGAGGAGTAACGTGACCAGTGAGGTCTGTGGTGACGGCCATAGCCAACAGCAGCAGGCACAGGACTAGCAACTTGGATGCCATGACCCATGTGGGGGGATGGCATTTTGGTTCCTGTCATCAATCATGGAAGCATCTTACTTTCGATGACCCAGCAACATATCCATCCCCTCATTCAGGCACAGCAGCCTTTTCATGTGGCCAATTTGCTCGGCAGGGACTAACAGTGGTGGCTAACTCAGATGCTCTGTGCACTAATGGTGGCCATCTGGGTTACTGTAATCAGAATGGAAGCTTCCTGGTCAAGTCAAGGCCCTTCTTGGATGTTGCTACCTAGTCCTGGTCACTGTGACCCATTTAAGGTGGATCTTGCTACTTAAGGCCCAACACTGGGAGGTGTTTGGTAGGAACTCGGCTGACGTTTGGTCCACCCTGCTCCCCACTGCCCCCTCTACTCACCTCCCTCTCCAAAGCCTCTTCCTTCTCCTCCTGCTTGGACTCGGTTTCCGGATGGCGCTGGTGGTGGTACAGCGAGCCCTTGTGCCTCTCTCTTCCCCTGCCCTTGGCCCCCTGCCACAGGCTGCTGCCCCCACCCAGCATGTGCACACCCTTCTCCTTGGCCTTGAACTGGGCCATCTCCTCTTCACTAGCCTGCTCTGCCACCCGCTTCTGGGGGTCCCCTCCATCCTCTTGCCACTGCTTCCACAGGCCTTCGAAGGTCTCCATGGGCCCCCTTTTTTTCTTTTCCTCCTCTTCCTCCTCCTTTTCCTCCTCCTCCTCCTCCTCCTGCGCCTCCTCGCGATCCTCTTCCTGGCGGAGCCGGCTGTGGAGATGCTCCTGCATGGCCTGTTCCCGCACCTCAGACTTGTGGGTCTTCTCTGCTGCCTCCTCCTCTTCCTCATCCCTCACTTCCTGGCTGGACCTCATCTTCCCAGCCTCCCGCTTCTTGAAATCACTAACCAGCAGGCCTTTCTCCTCAGTGGGTACACAGCTGTAGGGCTCCGTCTCACACATTTCTGGTGGGAAGAGAAAGGACACTGTGCAGCCAGTTGGGAACAGCTGGAGGAGTTCTGGGGCCCTCCTGAGGCCCACAGGGGGACTGCCCGGAACTGGGAGAGGAGGGTCTGCCCCCATCCTATTCCTCTGTAAGGGGCCCCAAGGGTGGGCTGGGGACCAGGCTGGAGACTTGGAGAAGTAGGGGCATGAGGTCTTACTGCACCACCACCTCCGCCAGCCAGGAGTTGAGCCCAAGCAGGAGAAGGAAGAGGCTCAGAGAGGGAGGTGAGTGGAGGAGGCAAGGGAAGCCCTGGGATAAGAGAACACCCTCCAGGCAGCCCGGGGCAGAACAGGGGCTGGGGCTCCCAGAGGAACTGGAGCAGGGGTTCTCCTTACCTCTGTGGAGGAGAGCCATGCAGGGGCCTCGCTGGGCCTGACCCAGAGTCAGCATTTCTGTGACCACCTCTGCCAGACAGTGGGTCAGCTGGGGGTGAAGGGTCAGAGGGGAGAGCAGCTGGGGGTAAGGAGAGCAGCTGGAGGGGAGGTGATGTGGAGGCAGCTGGGCAGGGAGGGCCCGGGCTCCAGGGAGGTGAGGCAGGGTAAGAGGTCACACTCCTTACCTCCTCCTTGGAGGGTCGTGATGCCAGAGGAGCAGCGGTGGCTATGGAGGAAGGAGATGGGAACTGGGCTTGGGAGGTCCTTTCCCCCCACCCCCAGCTGTCCCTGGTGCTGATCCCAGCTCCAGGGTGCCCTGATCCCCAGTCCCCTCCCCAGCTACCTATCCCATGTACTGTTCCCCCCCCCTCCAGCCAGCTGGGCCCATGTGGTTTCTCACCCACCCGCTGGGTGCACTGTCCCAGCCCCGTCACCCTGCACCCGGCCTGGCCCCCGGGTGCCTTCTTCCCGGTTTCTGCACTCACACGCCCCCAGCAGCAGGGACAGCGGCAGCAACAGCAGCACGGAGGGCCTCCCGTGGCACTGCATGGTGGTGCTTCCCAAGCAGGTCCTCAGTGCCAGGGTGGCAGCTCCTTATAACTGTACACACAGCCCCCGGGAGAAAGTGACGCACCACTGCCCCTCCCGCTGCAGGCGGAACAGCTGTGGGGCGCTGACCTGAGACCCTCAATTATTCATGGGGACCCACACCCTGCCCCCTTGCCCCTCCTGCTTCTGGCAGAGAACCAGCATGGGGATAGGGAGGTTTCCCCAGAGAAGGTCTGACAAGCAAAAGGCCTTGTTGAAAGATGGTCCTGGGTTTGAAGAAGCAGCCATTTACTGACCAACCTCAGGCAACTCTTACCTTGTCTTGGCCCGTTTCCTCATCTGGAAAGTGGGTCTCATAGCCTGCCTGTCCCCGAGGCTGTGACTGGCTCTGCCTGACTCCCAGTTCCACAGCTCCCAGCCCTGCAGCTTTTGGACATTTCATTTGTAAAATAGGTTTGGTGACAACCTATTCCACAGGTGAGGCTTGACGGTGAGGATTAAACAGCTGAATGTGTGTGTGAGATAATTCAGGCCAGCCATCGCCAACCTTCTGGACCTGGCGAACCACTGGTTGGCGGACCACTGGTTGGTGACCACTGATTTAGTCAGTTCTGGGTGCTGAGAACTACTCAGGTTGGAGCACCTCCAATCCTGTATTTTTTTTTTTTTAAATATATATTTTATTGAGTTTTTACAGAGAGGAAGGGAGAGGGATAGAGAGCTAGAAACATCGATGAGAGAGAGACATCGATCAGCTACCTTCTGCACACCCCCTACCTGGAATGTGCCCGAACCAATGTACATGCCCTTGACCGGAATGGAACCTGGGACCTTTCAGTCCGCAAACCGATGCTCTATCCACTGAGCCAAACCGGTTTCGGCCAATCCTATAATTTTTACTGAGCACCTACTACATGCCCAATGTGGCTGCTGAGTGAAGGAGCTGGCACACTGTCTTGCCCTCTTGGAGCAGGCACTGAGAAGGGGTGACAGACCATATTCAAATAATCACGTTATGTAAGGAAGGGAGGGAAGGTTGAAGTGGGGTCTTATGGCCTTTCCTGAGCTGGAGCCATAGGGGGCTCTGGGCAGGGGCACAAGCCCTGATGCCCATGTCACAGGAGCGCTCTGGCTGTGAGTGGGACAGGAGCAGGGAGACACCAAAGAGGCTACATGACTCCAAATGGGAGAGAGTGGTGGACAGGACCATGGAGGGGCTGGGATGAGAGAGCGTGGGCTCTGGAAACATTTCGAAGGTGCAATGGCCCAGGTTTGCAGAAGTGGAGGGAAGAGGAATCGAGGATGACCTACAGGGGATGTGGCCAGGGAGCTGGGAAAATGGCTCCAAATGCTGCAGTGGGCACATCCAGGGGAAGAGCAAATTTGGTTTTACTATCTATGCTGCCTACTGGCCCTCTACCTGGAGCGGGGTCTGAGAGGTGAGGTAGAAATGGGTCAGGGAGAGGTGTCACTATCCCACTGGGGGAGGCCGTAGCATCCTCTCAGCTCCCCTGGTGGTCCCACGCTACCGGAAGGTGGGCCTGTGTTCAAACCCAGCATTGTCCATGTCCCTGGGAGTTGCTGGATATGCCCAGCCATGGCCCCTCTGATCATTAGCACGTCTGAGCATCTGCCCCCGACCCCACACAAGTTGGCCAGGGCCATCTCCCGTGCTCATAGATCCGTAAAGACATTGTTCTGACCATTTATTAGGGATCTTCTGCTAAGCACTAAGGGGAGAGGGAAGAAAGAAGGAGTGGAGGCCTCTCCTTGATTTCAGAGAGGAAGGGCGGGAGAGAAACATACACGAGAGACCATCCTGGATCAGCTGCCTCCTGCATGCCCCACACTGGGGATCCAGCCCACAACCCGGGCATGTGCCCTTGACTGGGAATCGAACCTGTGACCTCCTGGTTCCTAGGTCCACGCTCAACCGCTGACATCTGGGGACTTGAAGGATCTAGGGATGGGATAAGAAGAGGGGCCTCGCCTGGCCGGCGTGGCTCAGAGGTTGAGTGTGGACAATAAGGTCACCGATTCTGAGGCAGCAGGGAAGCAGAGTGAACCCTGGAGTCCATAGGCCCAGGCATAGAGCTGATGGGGAATACAGATGTCAGGGCAGGCTCAGGATATGTCTCAGGGCCCAGGGTCCCCTAAGCCAGTGAGCAGCGACAACCCAGGTGGCTGATGAGGATGAGTCAGTTCGAGGCAGGCTGGCCCGGGAGCCTGGGCTTCTGGCGCTGGTTGGGCCCAATGTACTGGAGAGGCACATGGGTGGGGGCTGTGATCCGATCGGTGCCGAGGTAGGGCTGGAGGACAGAGGGAACGAGGACCGAGCCATCCTGGGGACAAAGCAGACCTTAAGATGCTGCCACTGCACTGGCCCTCCACCCCCTGCCCTTGAGATACAATTCACCATTTTTATTTTATTTCTTTAAGATTGCTTTACTGATGTTTATAGAGAGGAAAGGAAAAGGAGAAACGCCAATACGAGTGGGAAACATGGATCAGCTGCCTCCTGCATGCTCCCTACTAGGGATTGAGCCCACAATCTGCGCATGTGCCCTGACCAGGGATCGAACCAGCAACCTTTCAGTGCACAGGATGATGCCCAACCAACGGAGCCACACTGGCCAGGGCCCCCTCACCTTTTGCTGATTGCTCTCCAGGAGGGCGATGAGAAGGCGGGGGACAGCACAGGCTGTGGCATTCACCTGGGGGAGAGACACGCTCAGGCTGAGGCCTGCTGGCAGGCCCAGGGAGGGCTGAGGTGGGGTGGACGGTTGGGAGTGGAGGCGGGTGCTCACCGTGTGTGCAAACTGCAGCTCCCCAGCCTCTGTCTGGAACATGATGTGGAGGCGGCGGCTCTGGAAGTCTGTGCAGTTAGAAGCACTGGTGACCTGGACAGGGAGGTGGGGTGAGCTGAGGGATCAGCTGGGAGTACTGTGTCATCTCCTTTCCGCCCTGCGTTCCCCCTGGGACAGGGGCTCACCTCGCCAAAACGGCCCCGGCCTGGCATCCAGGCCTCAATGTCGAACTTGCGGTAGGCTGGAAGGCCCAGCTCCTGGGTGGGCATGTCCAGGACCCTGCAGCCAAGGCGAAAGGCAAGGCGAAGGTCAGAGTGAGAGGAGGAGGGAGAGGAATGGAAGCAATGGAAGAGAAGGCAGTGAAAATGGGCAATGGAAGTAAAGAGAGAGATAGCGGCAAAGGGGCCACCTTGGAGGCAGTGGTGGTGATGGAGAAGGTGAGCAGGAGCCAGGAAGGAGCTGATGGGAGAGAAGACCAGGGAGAACGGGCGTCTGGCCCGTGTCTCCAGGCTGCTCACCATGGCCAATCCCGCTGTTTGTAATCATAGCACCCCAAATTTTTGTAATGGGTCATCCCAGAAAAAGTCTGTTTTTCAGCATCTTTTGAGAGCTAGGTGTGACTGGCAGTGAGAGGGGGAAGTAGGCTTCCAACATCTTAAAGGTAAGGGGTAAGTCCCCCTTCTCACTGGTGGGGAGAAGCCGCCTGGGACTGCACAAGAGGCAGCACCTGAGGGCTGGGGAGCAACAGGAGGGAAGGGCCTGGGTCTCGACCTGGAGCACCTGTGCTGCTTCTGCTATGGCTACAATCCCATAACCCTCATCAGGACTTCAGAGATGGAGAGAGGACATAGCCTACACAGGGAAAAGGGGGCAGGGCAGACGTGGAGAGAGTTTCAGAATGGGGGGAGCACCAGCCCAGCATCTACCTCCTCTCTCCCCCCACCTCAGCCCCACCCATCCGCACCGGAAGTGCAAGCCCAGCTCTGTCAAGATCTCCATCTGCAGGGACAGAAACTCCTCCAGCAGCTGCGAGCTCTGCTCCAGCCCGGGGCCTGTCACCCCAAACATTTCCACCTGGCGCAGAGCAGGGGGCAAAGGAGTCAGGAGAACCATGGCTGTTGGGGTGACCTCCCCCCCAAAATCCCTGCTATGCCAACCTTGGTGAAGTGGTGCACTCGATACAGCCCCCATGGCTCCTTCCCTGTGTCTGTTTCTGCCCGGTAGCAGGTACTGGAACAAACCATCCTGGGGAGCAGGGATGGTGGGGTCAGGGAAGGGGGAGGGAACACCTAGGTTGGGGACAAGGTCTACAGGAACTGGGCATCACCTGACTGGCAGGTCCCTGAAGGCCACAGCGTGGTCCATGAAGTAGCCTGGGAGGAGAGGGGGACGGGGGGTCAGCCAGGGCCAGCCGCCATCCACAGGAAACTTTTGTAGGGTTACAAAAGGTATCCCCTCTGGCAGACACAACTCAGGTCTGGCATGTGGCTGGAGCCTCACTGTGCCGATAGGCAGTAAACAACCTGCACAGCTGTCGTGTTGGCCTAGGGTTGCCAAGATATCCTGGGCAGGCAGCTGCCACCCTCAGGATGCTCCAAGTTGCCGCCTTGCAATTGCTCCTGCCCCGAGGACCCTGGGGGTGCTCACCTGCAAGCCCCACCTCTGCGGTCCCGGCCAGGTTGAGGTCCTCAAAGCGGGAGGGGTCAATGTTGTAAATCTGGGATGGGTTGGCATTAGGTGACATCCCACAGCCTTCCTGAGGAGGCCAAGCCACAGAGGTCAGGGGACAGCTAACCATGGCCTCCTCCATTTTGTACTCACAACCCCTGCCTCCCTGGCCCATCCTAGAAGAATCTGGAATCCCCTGGCCTCCCTGGCCCATCCTGACCCCTCACGCCAGCCCCCGGCAATTTCCTCAGGGAGACAGGCTGGCCTCTGCCCGGGGCCCCTAGTGCGGGGCCTGAACACAGCTCGGCACGGACAGCAGTCCTCACTCACAAACACAGCTCCTCGGAGAAGGTCTGGCACCGTCATGGGGGTGAAGCCCTGGGTGGGGAAGGGAAGGGGTGAGTAGCACAGCCAAGACCCCTCACAGGCCCCACGCTCCGGCCTGAAGGGTCACCGCAGATGGGCCACCGGACTCCCTTGCACTCCAAAGCCCATTCCACTTCAGAGGAAATGGTGGAAGGCCCGAGCAGTGGGCTGAGCTGGCCCGGCCTGGTCACCGGGACCCTCTGTGGTGCTGCATGGTTCCCACACGCAGATCATACCAGATCGCATAGTTCAATCACTCCCTCCCCTGCTAAAGCCCTCCGTGGCCCCCAGGTAATGTCCAAGTCTCTTGCCATGGCCAATGCCCCTGCATCGAGCCTGGGCCAACCCCCTCATGTCAATGGACGCCATGTTTCCGCCACACTGTGTACACAGCAGGCAGGCAGCAGGTGCAGTGGTTACAAACGTAGGCTCTATCCTTGAGCCTACATGCTAGCTATAAAGCCTTCAGCTACTTACTCCCCTGTCAGACCTCAGTTTCTCAATCTCTGAAGTGGGGAGAATACTAGAACCCACCTCAGAAAGTTGTCACAGAATTAAATGTGTCAATGACAACGTGAAGTTCAGAAAACAGTAAGCGGGACAGCGGTCACACCCCCTCCTCACTGCCTGGAGCCTTCTGAGCTCAGCTTCCAGCCACCCTCCAGGCTGCCTCTCCCACGTGGACCGTACCCGCTGGACGAGCTTGCTGAGTGTGAAGTTGACCAGGCCGTGCTGCAGGAGGGCGCCAGCCCCGCGCAGGTAATAGGAGCGGTGGCCGGACACGTGAGACAGGCGCCTGGGAGACAGATGGGCAGACGGGCGGGGGCTTGTGGGCCAGAGCTTGCAGGCTGGGGTGTTAGGGAAAAAAGACTGAATACCCAGGGGCAGAGGCCCAGATGCCAAACGGGGAATTGGGCATCAAACATTCATGAGGGGTGCGGCCCTGCTGGTTCCACACCCAGGACTGGCCCGGGGAGCAGAGCCGGCAGCCAGCTGTTGGGGAGTGGGGAGGGTTAGGAGGGGAGCTCACTTCTGACGGATGATGTCAAGTTTCTCGGCGATTTCCAGGTGGCCCCGGGGTTGGAAGGAGAAAGCTGGATGTGGAAGAAAAGCAATGGGCTAAGATGGGGAGAGGCAGGGAGATGGGATGCCAACCCATCCCAGAGAAAGATTAGAAAAGCGGTGGGAAGGAAAGGCAGTAAGAGAGAAAGGGAGAGGAAAGGAGAGAGGAAGAAAGATTAAGATGGATGCAGAGATGGGAGCCAGAAAGAGATGGAAGGCAGGATCAGAAAAGGAGAGGAAAAGAGAGGGAAAGAGAAGGAAACGCTAGGTGAAAGGAGAGAGAATCAGAGAGAGAGGGAGAGAAAGGGAGAGAGCCAGAGAGCCAGAGAGGAAAAGCCCATGAGAGATGGGCCAAAGCCAGTCAGACAGACAGGGGCCGGTGCACACAGACACAGGGTGAGAGACCAGTGAGGTGAGGGGAGAGAACAAAATAGAACTGCCCCCGAGAGACAGCCTCACGGGCTGCAGCTGAGGAAGAGGAACCAGCACAGCCGGGGTGCCCGCCCGAGTGTGGCCCACCTGGCTTGTCTCCAATCACATGTAGCACTCGGGCCTGGCTCTCGTCCCCGATGGGCTGCAGGGAGAGAGGCCATCACCAGAAAGGTGGCGCTAGGCAGCCCCTGGCCTCCCCGCTGCCCAGTACAGGCCTTACCACGTCCGGGTGGGTCTGGTTGGGCAGCCTCAGCGCCCACAGGTAGAACTGCTCCTCCAGCAGGGCCTCCTTGGGGTACAGGAGCCCGAGCTGCTTCCGGATCTCCCGGCCCCGTGCCCGCAGGCTCTGATACTGCGGGTCCTGGGGCAGGGGAAGGGTCAGCCCAGGCCAGGGTTGGGGAGGCCCTGTACCAGCCTGACCTGGACTCTTGCTGGCAGAACCTCTGTGGTACACAATTTGCTGCCTCCGCTTTTGGCTCACTATCCTCGATTTCCTTTAGGGAACCTCCCTTCTCCCTTCACCTTCACATGGCACATCCTTGGGGACATGACCCAGGCCTGGACTACTGAACATTCCATCGCTGTGGCCACAGTGACTGGCTAAAAGGCAGGCACCTGACACAACCGAACGTGAGAATCAGCCCAGGCTGGAGCTATAAGGGAAGAGGCTCTTTTTGTACCCGACCCTGCCTCCCTCCCCAGGAGAGAAAGCTGGTCTGGGAATAAGAGGGAAGTAGAACCAAATATGGAGCCAGGACCTAGACCCAGCTGTACCTGAAGTTTGCTTTTTATGGTAGTTTCATGAATCAGTAGAGCCTGTTTTTCCCCTTAATCCTGTTAGAGTTGTCACATACAATGGAGGAATCATGACTGATACATGAACTGCCCACCCTCCCCGGGACAGACTTCAGCTCCCTGTGTACCTGCTGCACTGGACTGTTGCGTTGGTTCACCTGGAAGAAAAGACAGACAGGGTGATTGGTTTGATGAAGTTGAGGGTGGGGGTTGGGGGAGAGGTGAAAGGTCAAACAGGCCAGGGGATCTGAATTGTTGCTCTGTCAATGCCTGGCGGGTCCCTCCTTGACTGTGCCTCAGTTTCTGTCAGTAAAGCTGTGAAGAGGCAAGATAACAATAACAATCACACCTGCAACCCCAGTTACTGAGCGCTGCCTCATGCCTGGCGTCATGCAGAGGGCTCTCACACGACCCTATTTCTTCACAACCTACTCCACGAAGTTGGCATCAACATGGTTGTTTTTTTGTTAATCTTCACCCGACGATATTTTTTCCATTGATTTTTAAAGAGTGGAAGGGAGAGGGAGAGAAACATGGATGTGAGAGCCATATTGATTGGCTGCTTCCCACAGGCACCCGACCGGCGCTGGGGATGGAGCCTGCAACCAAGGTATGTGCCCTTGACCAGAACCGAGTACGGGACCCTTCAGTCCACGGGCCGACATTCCAACTGGCTAGGGCGTGACCCCATTTTGTGGATATGAAAACTGAGGATCAGAAAGACAGTCTGTGAGAGTGTATTGGAGGACTGCGACCAAGGGCCTTTGATACCCCAAGCCTCTATGATGCTGAGCAACAGAGGGAATCAGACAGACCTGGGTCTGAATTCTGGGTGCTGACCCGCTGTGTGCCTCTGGGCATTTCTCGTTCCCTCTCTGAGCCTCGGCATTCCCTTCTGTGAAATGGGATGATAACAGGACCACCCAGCAGGTCCACATGGCTTCCCTGAGAAGATGCTCTGGCATTCACTGACCATTAACTGAGATCAATTGTGTTGTTTTCCCAGGCTGCCTCCTGTGATGCTTGTGGCCCTAGGCCCAGCACACACACAGTAGGTCCCCACACACACAGAAGGTGCCTGCTGCGAGAGGCCTTCAAACAGAGTGCTGAAAAGCAGCCCAATGCCTGATGTGAATCCTGGCTGTGAGACTGAGGCGTGCTTTAACCTCCTGAGGCCTCAGCCTGCAGAACTGGGTTTGTGCTGTCCCGGATTCAGTGTGTGAGAATGTAAAGTAAGGGAAGTGTCTAGAACAGTGCCTGGCAGATGCTGTTGGCTGTCTAATCCAAACTCACCTGCCCTCCTTCCTCCTTTCCCACAGACCCTGACTCAGTCTGTCCTCCAGGCTGCCTGGAGTTCAGGGACTAGGGGTCCAGCTGAGGCTGCCTCTTGCTGCTGATTGGAGGGGTGGGGTAGGGGGCGCGTGGGATTTCTGGGCCCAGGAGAAAGGTCTCCCTGCTCTTGGGAAAGGCACTCAAGCCAGAGAAGCCCCATTTTCAGCCTCTGGCGGAGCCACTGGAATAGACACTGTCCTACGACAACCACCTTGGAACTGTGAGAGGGGAAACTGAGGTCAAACCACCACAGTGAGTCACGGGAGAGAGAGGAAGGAACCTGGTTGGGTGCTGGGGGAGCCACTAACTTATCAACCCCAGGGAGGCCTGGCCCTGGACAGCCTGTTATGTGAGGTAAAGAATGCCACCTCCTTCAAGTTCCTTACATTTGGTTTCTCATTAAAAACAGCCAGTGGCATCCTGCCCCACCCCCACCCCTAGGACCCCTGCTTACCAGCAGGGCCTGCACTGCCTCCGCCACGGCCCCCTTCTCCTCCTCCAGGCTCCGGATCTGTTCCCGCAGCTGCCTCAGCTCCTGCCACGTCACGATCTGGGGGTGAACACGGCAGAGAAAGAGGTGAAGCAGCCACTGTCCTCTGCCCCCCCTGGACCCTCACTGTCCGGGCAACCGTTTTTTCCTCCTTCCCTTCCTACTAGGACTTCCTGAAGTTCCCGTTCTCAGTCTGGATGGATGGACCCTAAGGAGAGCTGAACAGGGAACAGAACAACATCCTAAGGGGCACAGACAAGGAGACGAAAGCACCTGGCACTGAGGGACGTGGAGCTGGGCCCCCGCCAGCGCTCAACTCTTGACTCCCACCTGGGCGCAGAGGAGCCTGTCCTGGGGCTGCCCAGCAGCTAACCCTCCGTCTCCAGTCGGGGGTCAGGAGGGCGAGGAGCCCAGCGCTCCCTCCTTGGGCACACACACTGCTGGGGAGGCCCTCTGGGAGCTCAGGTCCTCCGCAAACCCCTTTGTCCTCTCCGGTTGCAGTTTCCTTTCAACAAAATGGTACAGACACTGCCCTGTGCCCCGGCCGGAAGCCTGAAAGGGACAGCGGGTCACAGGTTGGGTTGCTACTCATTTAGTGGCTCCTCCTGGATGCTCCCTGGACACTTCACGCTCACCAGGTGCAAGATGACACCCCCAGATCTGCTCCTCCTCCTCTGGGCAGCCCACCAACTCCCATCCTCCCTGCCAAAGCCGGGGCCTCCTCCTGATGCCACCCCAGCCCCGAGGCCAGGCACCAGGCTTGTGAACATCCATCCAGTCTGTCCTCCCCATTCCCCTCTCCCGGCCACCCCAGGTCCTGCCATTTCCAACGAGGACCCGGCGGCGTGAGCCTCGCGGCAGTGTGAGCAGTATGAGCCTCCCCCCCCCCCATCCCGCCGGATCCTTACACAGCTCCTCGTCGGCCTGAAAGTGACCCAGCCCTGCAGCCCCAGGGACAAATCACAAGGCCGCACGCCACAGCCCTCTTCACAGTCTATGCCCTAAGGAGTGTTTTTTTTTAAGCTTTGGGATGTGGTAAATATACACCAAATTTATCATTTCAGACATTAAAAAAAAAAGTATATATATATATATATATTTGATTTTTTACAGAGAGGAAGGGAGAGGGATAGAGAGTCAGAAATATGGATGAGAAAGAAACATCGATCAGCTGCCTCCTGCACACCCCCTACTGGGGATGTGCCCACAACCAAGGTACATGCCCTTGACCGGAATCAAACCCAGGACCCTTCAGACCACAGGCCGATGCTCTATCCACTGAGCCAAACCGGTCAGGACCCCAATGTCTTTTTGTGAGTGGATTTTTTCACTTAACATAATGTCCTCAAGGCTCTAGTGGGTGTGGCACAGCGGACTGAGTGTTCTGACACCAAGAGGTTGCTGGGGCACATGCCTGAGTTGCAGGACTCAATCCCCAGTAGGGGGCATGCAGATCCATGTTTCTATTTCTCTCTAAAATAAATAAGAACATTTTTTTTTTTAAAGTTCATCCAACCCTAGCCGCTTTGGCTGAGTGAATAGAGTGCCAGCCTGTAGACTGAAGGGTCCCAGGTTTGATTCTGTCCAAGGGCACATGCCCAGGTTGTGGTCTCGATCCCTAGTAGGGGTGTGCAGAAAGCAGCCAATCAATGATTCTTTCCCATCACTGATGTTTCTATCTCTCTCTCCTCTCTTCCTCTCTGAAATCAATAAAAATATATTTTAAAAAATAAAGAAGTTCATCCATGATATAACATATATCAGAACTTCCTTTTTTAAGGCTGAACAATATTTATACGTATAGGGTATCCCCCAAAAATGTATACACACACTTTGAATAATTACTAATTCCAATGGGTTAAATCTGAAAAGAAAGAAACATCAATTGAGCTATCAGCTATAAAGTATACATACATTTTTTTAGGACACCCTGTACACACACACACACACACACACACACACTCACTCTCTCACACCACATTTTGTTTATCATTCATCTATCAATGGACATTTGGGTGCTTTCCAGATTTTGGCTGTTATGAATGATGCTGCCATGAACATGAGTGTGCTAATATCTGTTCAAGCCCCTGCTTTCAATTCTTTGGGCTATATACCCAGAAGTGGAACTGCTGGATCATATAGTAACTCTATGTTTAATTTTTGGAGGAACTTCCAGACTGCTTTTCTATAATGACTGTATCCTTGCCAACACTTGTTATTTCCTGCTTTTTAAAAATAGCCATTCTAATGGGTATCTAAGCCAGGACTTTAAAAATTAAATAGAATATAATCTTATCTAATAAAGAGGGAATATGCTAACTGACTCTCCTATGTCATTGCAAAGATGGTGGCACCCACAGCCAATAAGAAGAGAATATGCTAACTGACTGCCCTACCCTCAAAGATACGACGCCCACAGCCACAAGATGGTGGTACCCGGTACCTCCAGCCCTGCTGGGGGCGCCTGCCTCTGTAGTACCCAGTCCCCACAGCCGCCCAGGGCCGGCCCGAAGTGTGGTCAAGCCTTGGATGGTGGGTGCCCAGGGCCACCCGAGGCTCAGGTAACAGGGCTGGCCAAGGCTTGCGCTGCCAGCAGTGGCAGTAGCAGAGGTGTGATGGGGCGTTGCCTTCCCCTATTGCCAGGTCACCTCCCACCCCTGAGAGCTCCCGGACTGTGAGAGGGGGCAGGCCGGGCTGAGGGACTTTTCATGCACCAGGCCTCTAGTAAAACATAAGAATGTATCAAACATAGTAAGAGCAAGAATTGTTAGTAAAACTGGTTTCATCTTGGGGTATGTGGACTAGATCAGGATGTGAAATGTGTTTCTTACTCTCGGCCACAGTACGAAAGACCCTAAATTATCTACATGTCCACCAAATGGCTATTTTGTCTTACCTCTAAGCTTTAGTAGTGCTGATCCCTCCACTGGGACACTCTTCTCCCGTTCCCCTAGCTGACCTCACTCATTCCACAGATGTTTGCTTAATGCCACCTCCTCTGAGAAGCCCTCCAAGAACTGTGACCTCTACTCTCGTTTTTATAAATTTTTTATTGTTGAAAGTATTACTTATGTCCCTTCCGTCCCCATACTGTCTTTACAGAACTTACCAGAGATTAATTATATATTTTTAATTGTATGTTAAATACCTCTCTTTCACTAGACTGTGAACTCAAATTGTCTTGCTCATGCGTAATCATAGTGGGGTAGTTAACACTGGCTTTTGGAACCCAACTGCATAGGTTCAAATTCCCTCTTGTCACCAGCTACATGATGTTGGGCAAATTAACTTCTCTGAGCCTTATGGCACCTACTTCACAGGGTTGTTGTAAAACTTAAATTAGGTTAATATGTATAAAGCACTTAGAAAAGGATAGTAGGATAGTCCCAGAGAGGGCTGAAAGGATGTGAGGTCCCCACCATCCTCAACACCTCAGCAGGACAGAGAAGGTGCCGCCGGTTCTAGTTGGATTAGATTCAGCCTTAGGACAAGCCTCGCCTGAAGTGGAAGCACAGAGGGCACTGGCACCCAGTTCCTAGCGCAGAGTAGACACCCAGCGCGCCTGATGGAACAGGCCCATAGGGTGTCCAGGGAGTGGGGCCTAAGCGCTCGGTAGACCCGCCTGAGGTCGTAGCATTACACATGGAAAAGAACCAAACTTAAGCGACAAGGCCGCCCCCTGCTGGAGAGTATCTCGCAAGCCCATTCGTCAGTAAAGTGAACAGCCAATAGGCAAAGCGCTCTGGCCTCGACGCCGCCCCCGCGCAAGCGCACTCACGATCGCCGGCAGGTCTTCCGGCCGCAGCTCCCCCTTGCGCTGCTCCAGGGTGCGGGCGGCTTCTTCCGGGCGCGCGCACAGCGGCTCCACGTCCAGATGAGGGAGGGCGCTGTAGCCCTCGCGTGCATGCTCGTACAAGAGGTTCCGATCTCGTCTCTCGGTTGCGAAACTTCTTGGTCTCTGGCTGCAGACACAACCTCTCCGGGGCTGGAGCCCTCGGCGGGCCACCACCGGCCACCAGCGCCGCGCTACAGACGCAGCCATCATGACCAGGGGACAAGGCGACACACGCCCTTCGTCCCGCCTACTCCGCGTTTGCACCAATGGCGAAGCAGCCGTGCTCCGGCGGACGAGTCACGCAGACCTCGGGAGAGGTCACCCTCTTTCGAATCTCAAAAGCGGTTTAATGAGAGAAGTTGACCGAGATTGACTCAGCCGTCGCCCAATCGCAGTCTTTGCCCCGCCCCTCCAGTGTGAGAGGCGGGACCTGCCAGGCTGCCCGCCGGAAGTGGCGAGAGGTTGTGCTCAGCGTGTCGGTGGGCCCTGCTGGGGTCGGTGAGGTCGGTGAAGTCCGGGGTCCGCCAAACTTCCCCGGTTCTCTCCTGTTTCCCCTCTACTCCGGTGTGCGGGCGGGACGGCTGGGTCCCCAAGAGCCTACTGAGGCGAGGCGTCGGAGGAAATTGTTTAGTTTAACCACAAGGTCCCGAGGGCGAGGAGGGGGTGCTAGCCCGACTGCGGCCACTTCCCTCCTCGTTTCTGAGTCTCTCTTACCCCCTAACACAGGGACGCTGCAGGCGGCAGGATGTCGTGGACCGGCCTTCTCCGGGGCCTCAACCTGTCCCTGAGTTACAGTAAGTGGGGGGTCTTGGGCTACAGAGTCGAGGCTGGATGAGGGACTTATGTACTTCGGCCACAGACACAAGGGAATCAAGGTTTTGAATCAAGGGTGGTTGGGCGATGGGTTTTGGCGGAGCTCGGGTGCAAAAGCAGGATGTGAGGAGTAGTTGCATTAAGGGCTACTTAATGCCAAGTGAGTAGTGGGAGTTTGGGTCAATTATTTCTTCAGTAACCACTGTACTTAATAAATACCACCGTGGTTTACACTTCTTAGCAAGGCGTTTAACTCATTCATTCAGCTGGTATTTTTCAAGAACCTTATATGTGCCAGGCCCCGAGGGGGATGCTATATTTGTGAACTTACTCTCTTAACAAATATTAAACGCTTCTTATGGCCCTTTGTGAGGTATTTCATCTACTTATTCACTATGCAAACCTTTAGTAAGCACCTTCTGTTTGCCACTTACCAAGGATCACAAGGCTGTGCAAGACCGGCCTGCACCCTGCCTGGGGAATCTGGGCTAGCTTGGCATGACCTCTCACACACGGTGTTCAGGAGGAAGGCATGATCATCAAGGACACCGAGACACTGAGTGGCAAGGAGTCTTTTTTATTTTTTATTTTTAGAGAGAGGGGAGCATCTATGTGAGAGTGTAACATTTGATCAGCTGCCTCCTGCATGCTGCCTACCCGGAATCAAGCCCAAAACCCAGGCATGTGCTCTGACCAGGAATCAACCGGCAACCTTTTGGTTCATGGGACCACACCCAACTGACAGCCACACCAGTCTTGCAGAAGGGCACACCACGAGGAAGAGATTTCTAGGAATGTTTCATCCCCTTTGAAGTTGTGCTGTAACTTGAGACAAATTGGGTGTGAAAGGGCATCCATGCTAGTGACAGGGGAAAGAATGGACTTAAAATCCTGGACCGGGAACTTTTTTAAATTTTTTTTATTTTTATTTATTTTATTTTATTTATTTTTTTAAAATATATTTTATTGATTTTTTTGCCCCCTCCTTCCCTCCCATACATCCCCTCCCTCCCCAGAGTTTTATGTCTATTGGTTGTACTTATATGCATGTACACAAATCCTTCGGTTGATCTATTATCTCCCCCGATCTTCCTCCCCTCCCCACTGTGATTTGACAGTCTGCCTGTTGCTTTACTGGCTCTATATCTGTCTCTTGGTTCATCAGTTTATAATGTTCTTTATCATCCACAAATGAGTGAGGTCATGTGGTGTTTCTCTTTCATTGATTGGCTTATTTCACTCAGCATGATGTTCTCCAATCTGGACTGGGAACTCTTGAGAGGACATGGTCCAGGGCTGTCTCAGTCACTAATGTGTCTCCATTGTTGGGGACAAGAAACAGTGGGTGCTCAGTGAATGTTTGTTGAAGAGAATCCAGTTCTGAGTCTTGCACCCTACATTTTATCCATTGGCAAATCCTATGGGTTTGTCTTGGAAATAGATTCTTCCCCAGCTGCCTTTCCTCTTATTACAGTGCAGCTGCCCTGGTCTTACTGTTGAGGTGTTTGGGGACACAGGCTGCAGCTGGGTGAGCAAGGGGGTGAGTGAGATGAGGTAAGGGAAGACTGGGGCAGCCCCTGTTGGGCTTTGTGGGAGGACTTTGACTCTTAGTGAGTGAGATGGCCCCACAGGAGGGCTCTGAGCAGGGGAAGGATGATCTGATCCAGGTGGCACGGGGACCCTCTGCCTGCATGTGGGGCAGGTAGTGGGAGTGGGAAGACCTGGGAGGAGAAGAGGGTGGACAGGAGTGGGTGTAGTGAAGGAGAAAGGGTGTGTTTGAAAGTTCTGCTGACAGGATCTGCTCACAGGGCAGATGGGTGTGACCGGAAGAGTGACAACTTCCTGGAATACCCCCTAGTTGCCATAGGAATGGCATGAGGTAATGGTGTGATGCATAGAACAAGATTCAAGCATTGCGAGCCTGCTTGCTTTTATTCTCTTTAAGCAGCATTACAATTAATACCTTTCTTGCAGAATGAGTTAATTCATGTAAAATGCTTAAAAGAGAACCTGACACATGGTGGTTGCTTAGTAAACTTTTGTTGTTATTGTTCCCTGAGTTCCCCAAGATGTAAACAGGCATCTTATAAAGGGCTTGGAACAGTGTCTAGAACCCCCGAACTGAGTTGTTGTTCATTGGGATAATAACCCCACTTTGCCCTCTTGGGTTGTGTCTTTCCAGGCCTAGCCCAGGTCCCCCAGCTCTGGGCCACCCGCCCCATGGCCACCCTGAATCAGATGCACCGTCGGGGTCCTCCGAAGTGGCCGCCTCGAAAGCTGGGTCCCACAGAAGGCCGGCCGCAGCTGAAGGGCGTGGTGCTACGCACATTCATTCGTAAGCCCAAGAAGCCCAACTCGGCCAACCGCAAGTGCTGCCGCGTGCGGCTCAGCACCGGCCGAGAGGCGGTCTGCTTCATCCCGGGAGAGGGCCACACCCTGCAGGAGCACCACATTGTGCTGGTACAAGGCGGGCGCACCCAGGACCTGCCCGGTGTCAAGCTCAAGGTTGTGCGTGGCAAGTACGACTGTGGCCATGTGCAGAAGAAGAAGTGACCGCCGGGGTGTGGTGGGCTGGGGTAACCAGGACAAGAACCTCTGTCTCTGGGCTCCTGCAGGATCCTTGGGAAGCGAGGCCAGTTCTAGAAGCAGCTGGCCCTGGTTCACATCCTGGCTCCTCTTCCATTAGAACCATCAGTAGCCCACAGGAGTCTCGGGTGTGAATTAGAAAAGGTGCCCCTCTGCCAACATCCTTGGTGCAAGAGGCTTCTGCTGGGACAGTACACTATTCCATCTGATGAGAAGGGGTTGCAATAAACACACAGAGACTCTGGTTGGACGTGTGCACCTTGCCTGGTATTCAGCCTCTGTGTGGTCTCGGCAGCTGGCATGCCCTCTGGGGCTCTGTTTCCTCCTCTACTCAGAGCATCCCCTTTGTTGGGTTTGGTGAAGATTAGACACGATGAACAAAGCATGTGTGCATGGCTACTCTGTTCTGAGGTTTGGAGTTTGGTGGTAGCACTGAGACCCAGTTCCCCTTCCTGCAGGCCCGGTGCCTGGGTAAGGAAAGGCTGCCCTCAATCTTCCTCCTGAGAATGGAAGTCATTGTGGTGGTGGTGGTGGTGAAAGGTGTTGAGAAAGGATTGATTAGGGACGGGGAGGGCACTGCTGCCCACATGGGAGCTTCTCTTCTGTGTCTCAGAATCACACCCCTGGGTCCAAATCACACCTTGACCTCTTAGTTTGGTGACTTTGGGTTTATTTGTCCCCCCAGCACCTCCGGACTTGTTTTCATCCCTTGGGAAATGGTCCTGAAAGTAATACTGCCCTCATCTGATCATATGGTTGGCCATGTTAGGTGTTAAGATTGGGAGCTGTGCTTCTAACCTTGGGCCCTGGAGCCCAACTCAGGTGCAAGCTCTGCCTTCCCTACTACTGGCCAGGTGACCTTGGGCAGGTCGTTAAACTCCGAGCCCGTTTCCTCCTGGACTAAATGGTATTGATAGTGGTGCCTGCCTGAGTGCTGTTGGGAGAACTGCCGAGGACTGGCATCAGAGCTGCCTGTTTCTAGTACAGTACACCTAAAGCTCTCACAATTGAGAACATCCCACAAGACAAGTAAGTGCATTGATTACAGACAAGTCCCCCAGCACCTCACATTTAGCACCAATTTTATTGAGTTTGGTGGCTTTGCCCACATTGGGAGAGTGGGAGACATGAGAGGAGTCGGGACAGGACTCCACGTCACTTAACTCCTCCTGGAGTTTGTATGCAGGTGGGTTTGAATGGAGAGAAGGAAGGTGTTGCCTACAGGAGCCAAGCTGTCCCTGAGGCAGGGGCAGGAGGTGTGGGTGAAGGGCACAGCACAGACCTGGCCTGAGGTTCTGTAAGAAACTGCCAGTCTAGCCCACGGGGCGGGGTGTGTGTGTGTGTGTGTGTGTGTGTGTGTGTATGTGCTGATGGGGCAGTGCTGAACAAGGTTGCACAGGCCCACAGCGGAATCTCAGAGACTCCCCAAAACAGCAGAAAGTTCCCTTTGGTGTTGGTCCCCTCAAGGGCAGGCTTTTCTGACGCCTCTGCTCCCAGCTAGCAATCAGCTTGCCCTGGAGAAATCATTGGCAATTCTGTTCGGCCTTTGTTTTTTGACTCAGTCTATCTGCACATGAGAAAACAATTTTTTTTTTCCTTGAGAAAACAATTTTTTTTTTTTCTTGAGAAAACAATTTGCAGGCAAATTAAATCTTAGCTATTCCCTGAACCCCCTGGCTCAGGAAGCTGTGAACAGCCCAGTTGGAGACCTGGTTTCTTGAGCAGCATGTGGGCTGCCGTTCGGAAGCAGTAGCACATGAGAGTTGCTGGAGGAGAGCGTGGATCCCCTGGCTCCTGGCTGCAAAGCTGCCCGTGATTGGCAGTGATGTCGGGCTGGTGGTAGTAGGTCCTAAAAGGCCTGATCAGACTGGTGGGCTAGCCGCTAGGACAAGCGGATCCTGACTCTCACGGTGGAGTGGGTCACGAGGGCGCCATAGTGTCCCACCCAGGAGCGTGTGTCTCTCCCATACTGCTCAAAAGACACGTATCGGATGCCTTTGCCAAAGTTGGTGAAGACGTGGGAGACCTGCATGGGGAAGGAGACCAAGAGGGTGAGGACTTGTGGGCCCTTCCTTCTCCATCAACTGATCAGATACTCCCTCAGATCAAGTAGTTGCTCTGGGGATTCATCAGTGAAAAGCAACACAAAGACCCTGCCTGATGGAGCTGACCATCTGGCAGGGGACGCAGACACTGAAGTAGATGGGGTAAGAAACGGGGAATTCTGCAGGGGGGCAGGGTGTAAAGTGAGTAAGCAAAGGCCCACTGAGGTGACATTTGAGCAGATACCTGTAGTGATATGGAGGGAGCGTGTTCCAGACAGGACCAGTCAGTGCAAAGGCCCTGAGTGTGACTGGAGCACAGTGAGGGGAAAATTAGGAAATGGGGTCAGGGGGATAAAATTCACCTAACTGAACAGTTTTAAACTACAATTCAGCGTTTTTTAGTACATTCATGATGTTAGGCAACCATTACCACTGTAATTCTGGAACATTCCCTCACCTCTGCGGGACACACACACACACACACACACACACACACACACACGGGACCTCATATCCATTAGTCATTACTTCTAATTCCTCCCTACCCTTAGACCCTGGCAACCACTAATCTGTTTTCTGTCTCGCTTTTTTTATTCCAGATATTTCATATAAATGCAACCATACATTATGTAGCCTTTTGCACCCGGCCACTTTCACTTAATATACTTTTCCAAGATTCATCCATGTTGTAGTACGGATCTGTACCTCATTTCCTTCAATAGCAGCAAGACAGAAGTTGGGCTTTTACTCTGAGATGTAGCCATGGGAGGGTTACAATCAGGGGAGGCTGGTGATCTGACTCACTTTGAATTGGGATCTTTCTGGATGGTGAGTCTGTTTGGTGGTGGGAGATCAGGAGTGGAAATGACCACCTGAAAGTCTACTTTGATAAGTGAGATGTGATGATTTTGACAGCATGGGCTTGGGTGTCATTCTGGGCTTGAATCAGACCCTGCACACTTTAGTCTGACTTTGGGCTAGTCACTTGACGTCCTGCACCTTAATTTTCTCACTGCTAGAATAGGGAGAAAGTATTCCTAGATCAGCACACAGTAGGTGCTCAATAAATGTGTGTTGGAAACATAGGCTATATTATGAAATGAATGAATAGGGAAGACTTGGAACAGGGCCTGGGATGTAATACTGGCCCATCCAATGGGAAACAAGCTGAGAAGGGAACGAGCAGTGCGAAGTGAGGTTTGGCTGGACTCACCTGTCGGTAGCCTCTCTCAGTCCACTGCAGGACCGGGTTGGGTGAGGCCGAGAACTTGACCACTTCATTTTCGTACACGTCCAGAAGGCGGACCCGGAGCCGGTAGATGCAGCCGCAGTTCTCTCGGGCGCCCCACCTGCCAGGTGGGGGTGAGCGTTGATGCCTCTGCCATCCACCCAATCTCGGGGTTGGGAGGCTGAGGGTTGGGCCTCCCTGCACTTTGATATGGGTTGCACACCCCACACCCCATATGTAGAGGTGTCAGCCCTGGATTTGGGGGAAAGCGCCTGGGTACTCTGGGCCCTCCTGGGGTGGGTTCTGTAGACCTTTGCTCAGGTGAGGGGGGGAGGGGTGTCGAGTTTGATGCTCTGGGGAGAAATGACAACCTAGGAGAGGAGTAGCCCCCAGTATTTCTGGAGAGGAGCCAGAGGGAGAAATCTGGATACTCTTAAGATGAGTCAGAACTCCAGGAAAGAAATTGGAGAAGCAAGAGATGGAGGGAAGAGGAGTCCGAGAGTTTTGTGAAAGAGCCTGGGTGCTGTGGAGAAGAGTCTTATCGTAGGCCCACAGGTTCTGAAGCCAGCCAGTGCCTCTGGCCCAACTCTGCCCTTTCTGAGCCCGTTTTCATGGCACAATGCTCCCCACTTTTCTGAAGCCTTGGTGTCCACAAGCCCTTGGGGTCAGGGCAGAGTTGCAGGTGGTGGAGTTGGTGGGTAAGGGGAGATACCTGTTTTAGATCAGACCAAGCCAGTCAGTGGCTCCCGTGCCACCCCCAGGCATGCTGGGAAGAAGGTGGGGAAGCGTGCAGCGTGGGGGCTCTGGGCTCACCGGGGCTCTGCCCTCCCTGGCTCAGCAATCTCCCTGCCAGTCTCATTGTGAAGGGGCACCGCAGCAGTGGCCAGCCCATGGATCGATGAGCTGGGAAACGAACCTCTTGCAGAACTGCTGCTGTCACCATTGGTTCTGGGGGCAGGTTGCCATTCTTCACTCACCAGTCAGCCACACAGATCTCAATCTGGGCGCTGTCCAGCAGCTCCTGCCACACCCCCTCCATCACCAAGTCCACAAGCTGCCTCTTGAAGCACCATCTGGGAAGGGGAGATGGTGGGTGTTGAGCTGTCAGGCACAGCCCAGAAATCACCTCCTTCCTGAAGCCTCTGACAGCGCTGTCAAGGCAGCCCCTCAGGGTTTGTTCTCTAGAACAAGATGGATGATGGGCTGGGCAGCCCCATTGACCTCCCACATCCCTCCACCATTTTCCACTGCCCTGAGCTCCAGGAGGCCGGCCTGGCTGCAGGCCTGGCCCTAATATTTGTGGGAACCTGGACATGAGTACCAAGGCAGGCCCACATTGAGCAGGGAATTCTGGGGTCTCTAAAGGGTGGGGCCCAAGGTCTGAGGTTGTGTTGATGTATGGACTGGCTCCCTTACCCTCTCTTTCCTGTTGGATCAGTGAATGGGAAGCTCCAGCAGAAGACAGAGTGAGAGAAGAGAGTAAAATCAGGATATTTATCCGCCTGGCTCCCTCCCAAGGATCATCTGGGACTGTTGTCTCTGTCAGAGACAGGGCACAGCTCCACAGTGCCCTCTCTTCACAGCCTTCTCTGCCCTGTTTCCATAACTGCTTCCTGCCTTTAACCCTGTCAGGCCCAGGGATGGGAATGACCCTTCTTCCTACTGTTACTAGCCTGGGGGTCATGGGTTATACCTGTGGTCTGCCTACACCTTTGTAAATAGTCTTTCTTCCATCATTTGAATACTAGAGGACAAGTGCATGAAAATCATGCACGGGGTGGGGGTAGGGGTGTGTCTCAGCCCGAACTGCCCCAATGTCGGTGTCCCGTGCCCCAGCTGGCCTCTGGCAGAGGCCCGCCAGCCCGCCCGCCCTCTGTGGGCTGAGGTGCACGGGATGCTGGGGCTCGTTGCTGGAGCTACACTGCCAGCATCCAGCACCCTGGCTGCTATGGGCACCGCTAATTTTTGAGGAGTGATGGTTAATTTTCATATTACCCTTTTATTAGCCAGGATGCCACAATATAGAAATAGTGTCATACTGGTGGAAGAACTGTGCTCAGGGAATTTCATAAATGATAGAGGCAGCACTGCCATTCCATGGGGAAGGGATGGTTTTTAGTAGATGGTGTTGGGGAAATGGGATCAGTATATGGAGAGAGGGGACTAGGTTCTTAACTAACACCACATTCAAAGGTGAATTAAAGATCTAAATGTGAAAGATAAACTAAGAGTTTACTAGAAGAGAATATAACAATAGAGTGGGGAAGGCCGGGGCAGGGGGCAGGGGTGGGTTAGAAGGGGTCATTGGGAGGTAAAAGGGGGTGTATATATAATACTTTCAACAATAAAGATTTAATTTTAAAAAGAATATAAGAATATTGTTAGAATTTAAGGATAGGAAGGATTTTTTCAAACAAAATTTCAAAAACAAACTCTAAAGGAAAAAAGGGAGAGATGAGTTTGATCACATGAAAATAAGAACAAAGAACACCATGGGCACAAGTTAATACAGAGGGTAGAATGGGAGATTTTTGCAATGTCCAGGATAGACAAGAAACAGACATCTAGAACATACAAGGAATCTATACTAGTATAAGGGTAATATGCAAATTTGTCAGGATGTCCTCACATAACAACCAAACAGCAGGCTGCGTGGGGTGACCAGGCCGGCAGGGGGGGCAGAGAGGGGCAACCTAATGACCAAACATCAGGCTATGGGGGGCGACCAGGCAGGCAGGGGGGCTGTATGGGGCGATCAGGCCAGCGGGGGGCAGGGGGCACTGAGGGATGACAAGGACAGCAGTGGTGGGGGCCAGTGAGGGGCGACCAGGCTGGCAGAGCGGGGTAGTGAGGGGCAACTTGGTAGGCAGGGGGAGGCAATTATGGGCGATCAGGCGGGCAGGCAGGTGAGTGGTTAGGAGCCAGTGGTCCTGGATTATGAGAGGGATGTCTGACTGCATTTTTAGGCCCAATCCTGGGACTAAACCAGCAGTCGAACATTGCCCCCACTCCCTGTGCATGAACTTCGTGCACCAGGCCTCTAGTCTATATCTATAAAAGCCTAAGCTACCATTATGACCCGACGACCAGCCAGTAGCAATGACGTGCACTGACCACCAGGGGGCAGATGCTCAATGCAGGAGCTGCCTCCTGGTGGTCAGTGCGCTCCTATAGCCAACCTCCCTCACCCGGCTGGTCAACCTCCCGTGGTCCCTTCCCCCAGCCAGCCTCCCCAATCAGCCCCAATCGCCAGCCAGGCCAAGGGACCCCACCCATTCACGAATTCGTGCACGAGGCCTCTAGTTCTTATATATCAACAAGAATAAGACATCAGCCTAGCCAGTGTGGCTAAGTGGTTGAGGGATGACATATGAACCAGGAAGCATGGTTTGATTCCCTGTCAGGGCACATACCTAGGTTGCCAGCTAATCCCCACTGTGGGGCATGCAGGAGGCAGCTAATCAATGATTCTCTTTCATCATTGATGTTTCTCTCTCTTCCTCTCCCTTTGTCTCTGAAATCAATAAAAATACATCCTATATAATAAAAGGCTAATATGCAAATAGACCAAATGGCAGAACAACCAGAACAGCCGAACAATTGGCTGCTATGATGTGCACTGACCACCAAGGGGCATGTGTGGAACATGGTGGGCATTGGCCATGGTGGGATGGTGGAGCTGGTGAGCGGGGGCACCAGACCAGGGCAGGGTGCCAATCACTGTCATCGGAGCGAGCCTCTGGTCATTACTGAAAATTCTTTGTTCCTTCGCACCGTGGTCGTGCCTGTGCTACCGGTGCCAGCCCTGCTCACACTCATTGCCAGTACTGGCCCTGCTCGCACCCGCAGCTGGTGCTGGAGCCACCACCTGCTCCTGCTTCTGGTGCCTGGCGCTGGTCCCGATTACTTGTTACCATTGCTTAGTGCCGTCAGCAGGTGCCAGCAGCAGCTACCACCCCTGATCACCCCTGAGGGCTTCTCCACCTCTCTCTGTTCCTGAGGGGCAACTGGGGCACCAGCGCCGTTCACACCTGGCCCTGATAGTACCCTCTGCTGGCACTAGCCCCAATCGCCCCGTGCTGTCAGTAGGTGTGAGCGGGGCCAGCGCTGTCAGTGTGTGGGAGCGGCGGCAGCCAGAGCAGGGCTGCTGGTAGACAGGGGACTAGGAACTGCAGAGGGAGGGGCTGGACAGGGGCGTGGAGGATGGGCTGAGACCTACCTCTGTGTCTACTGCAACCCTATGTCCCACAGTTCCTTTCAACGTGCATGAATTTGTGCACTGGGCTGCTAGTCCTATCTAATAAAGAGGGAATATGTAAATTGACTATCCTGTTGTCACAAAGATGGTGGCACCCAGAGCCACAAGATGGCAGCACCCAGCGTCCTCAACCCTGCCAGAGTTCCCCAATCCTTTCAGCCCCACCTGGGGGCGTGGCCAGATCCGCCCTCAGTTCCCCAACCCCCCAGGGCCGGCCTGAGGTGTAGACAAGTCTCAGATGGAGGCTGCGCAGCTGCCAAGGACTGCCTGAGGCTCAAGTAACCAGGGTTGGCTGGGGCTTGTGCTGGCGGCAGTGGCAGCAGCAGAGGTGTGATGGGGGTGTTGCCTTCTCCTGTCCCTGAGGGTTCCCAGATTGAGAGAGGGGGCAGGTCAGGCTGAGGGGCTACCCCCTCCAGTGCATGAATTTTCATGTACTGGGCCTCTAGTCCTATATAATAAAAGGGTAATATGTAAATTGACCTTAATAGCAGAATGACCAGAACAACCTCTGGACCAGTCACTAAGAGGCACACTGACCATGTCTTGGTCCCTTCCCCCGGCCGCCAGGCAGCGATCACCGAATGGCGAATGGGTAACTGGGGGTGGTGGTGGTGGTGGGGAGGAGCCGGCTGTGGGCAGCTGGGGAAGATGGCCCTGATCGCAGGCCAGGTCTAGGAACTGTACCCAGGCATGAATTTCGTGCATTAGGCCTCTTGTCCTATATAATAAAGAGGTAATATGCAAATTAACCCTCATGCCTTCACAGGATGGCTGCCTATGACCAGACCTGCAGGGAGGTTAGTGAAGGACAACCAAATGACTGAACAAGCAGGCTGCGTGGGACAACCACGCCTATAGGGGGGATAATGAGGGATGACCAGACGACTGAACAAGCAGGTGGTGTGGGGCGACCAGGCCAGCAGGAAGGGGCAGTTGGGCGATCTGGCCGGCAGTGGGGGATAATTAGGAGAAAACAGGCAGGCAGGTGAGCAATTAGGAGCAAGTGGTCCAGGATTGTGAGAAGGTTTAGGCAGTCGGACATCCCCCAAGGAGTTCCGGATTGGAGAGAGGGTAAGCTGGGCTGAGGGGCCCTCCACCTGTGCATGAATTTCATGCACTGGGCCTCTAGTATATGTAAGACATCAGCCCTAAAAGAAAATATGAGCAAGCAATTTACAAAAGAGGGAAGACAAAAAGATAATACGCATATGAAAAGATCCTTAATTATTAGTAAGTTGAAACATGCAAATTAAAATTAAAACAGCAATGAGATATTACTTCACCCCTAATATACTGTCAGCTACTAGAAAGCTGGATAATGCCATGTGAGAATAGTTGACTATGGAAATAGGGGACAAAGAAATAGGTATGGGATATGAGGATAGAGAATCAACCAACAAATCAGGCTGTTCTGATGTCTTCATGGCATTTATCACAACCAGAACCTCTGGAATCTGAGTTCAAATTCCAGCTGCACCATTTACTAGATGTTGTTACCTATGTGTGTTAGTTTCCCATTATAATGTGGAGCTAACAATATCATCTATGTTGCACAGTTGTTGTCAGGATTAGAGTTATATGTAAAGCATCTGATTGTTGTGTTGTTATTTTACCCTTTACTAGAGGCCTGGTGCATGAAATTCATGCACTTGGGGGTCCTTAGCCCGGCCTGCGCCCTCTTGGTCCGGGAGCCCTTGGGGGATGTCTCACTGCCGTGGAGGTGGGAGAGGCTCTCTCCACTGCCTCTGTGCTCACCAGCTATGAGCCCGGCTTCTGGCTGAGTGGCGCTCCCCCTATGGGAGCGCACTGATCACCGGGGACAGCTCCTGTGCTGAGCAGGATCAGGCTGAAAGCAGCTCTCCTACATCCCCTGAGGGGTGCCAGATTGTGAGAGGGCACAGGCCAGGCCCAGGTACCCCACCAGTGCATGATCAGGGCTGGGGAGAGACACGGGAGGTTGGCCAGCCAAGGAGGGATCACAGGATGACTCCAGGGCATGTCCAGGACGACCCGAACTGCTGGACCCAGCAGCAAGCTAACCTACTGGTCAGAGCATCTGCCCCCTGGTGGTTAGTGCACATCATAAGGAGCAGTTGAGCTGTCTTAGCATATCATTAGCATATTACACTTTGATTAGTTGAATGGCCGACTGGACAGCTGGATACAGCATAGTAGTCTTTTATTATATAGGATAGAATGTGCTTATTGTCTCCCCCCATCCTACATCTAAAATGCAAATGCAGTTCCCTTATCTTTCTGAATTTTTTTTTTTTTTTTGTATTTGGACATATAATATAAAACAGTTCCTGAACACTGGCCGGTATGGCTCATTTGGGCATCCTCCCCTGCACCAAAGGGTTGCTAGTTCGATTCCTGGTCAGGCAACATGCCAGGGTTTCAGGCTAAATTCCTGGTGGAGGCTTGCAGGAGGCACACCTGTTTCCCCGCACATCAATGTTTCTTGCCTTCTCTCCCTTTCCCTATCTCTCTAAAAATCGAAAATCTTTAAAAATAAAAAACAGAAAAAAGTGTCTGGTACATAGCAGGCCCTCAACAAATTTGTTGAGGGGAGGGTGAAAGTGGGTGAGGATGAAGCCGGTGGGTGGGGCCGGGCCCCACCCTTCTTGAAGCCCTTGCCCCAGAGAAGGGCCACTCACTCGAAAGAAGTCACGAAACAGGTCTGGGAAGGAGCGCCAGGCACCAGTGTCAGGTTCTTTTCTATGGCCCAGCCGTTCCCGCCGTGTTCCACCTCCCAGCCTCTGAAGCCCTCTGCGGGATGCAACAGCGAAGAGGGATTAGCCCGCCCTGGGCTCCTTCACCGGCCCGGCTCCCACCCCCGATTCACTGGCTCCCAGCGCCTCCGCTGGGCCGCCCACCCGCTGACGTCCTCCACGTGTCACAGCGCCTCACGCTTCCAGGCGAGCTCCGCGGCCCCTGGTCCCTTCTGCTTTTCTCACCCTTGCGGTTCTCTCCCTCCAGCCCCGCTTCCCAGCCCACCCCGGCCTCGCCCACCCAGTTCCCGCAGAGCCTCCCTAGGCCAGGCCCCGCCCCCTGCCCCGGCCCCGCCCCCAAGCCCCGGCCCCGCCCCTCACACCTCCCCGCGGCCCCGGCCGCCCCGGCACCCACGCTCTCCGCAGGAGTTGAAGATGAGGTTCCGGCGGAGCGGCGCCCGCAGGCAGTAGCGCGCCAGGGCGCACAGCGGCAGCTCCCCCCCGTCCTCGCCGCTGGGCGGGCAGCGCTGGGCGGCGGCGTAGAGCGCGCGGCCCTCGGCGCTGCGGTCGCGGGCCAGCTGCAGCAGCCACACCGACGGCCCGTCCACCACGGCGCGCCACGCGCGGCACACGGCGCGGCAGCGCGTCACCAGCGTGCGCGGCGGCAGGTGGCTCAGCACCTGCACCAGCAGCTCCGGCGGTAGCGCGTCCAGGGCTAAGGGCGGGTCCGCCGGCGTCCGCCTGCGCGAGGGCCGGGCGCCCATCTCCGGCGGCTGGGATCCTGCAGGTTGAGAGGATCGGCAGGTCAGGGCAGTCTGGCCTCCTTCCACTTCCCCCAGTGCGCATGGTCCCTGCGGCTTGATCGTGACCCCACCCCTCCCCCAGCTTTAAAGGATCACAGGGGAACAGCCACGGCCGCGAAAACTCGGCACTTAGTCCTTACCATCCTGCTCTGGAGGGCCAAAGGCTTTCCCTCTTGGCCAAAAGACTCCACCAGGACTGCTAACCACGGCTTCCATGCCTGGCTGCGCACTTGTATACATAAGCACTTTATATATATATGGCCATAAGCATACTGAAGATGGGCTAGAAAAACCACCTAGGATGAAACCATTTCCATCCCCACTCCTCAGGCCTTTGGCATTCATGAACTGTCAATCTCTTCACTGAACATTCTTGTCACCTTCTTGCTCTAACGAAAACCCAGCTCTCCCGTCGCTCTTCCTAGTGGGTAAATCTCCTTGCTCCTTGGTGCTGCTTCCAGACAAAGCTCTCTTCCCCAACGTTCCAGCTCTGAGTCTTTTCATCAAAGTCGATGCTGCCCTCATTGGAAACGATCTGCTGGCCCACATCACTATTCCTCACTTCTCCGTGATTTTAGCTTCAGGTTCACTGCCACTCCCCCTGCTCCCAACTTCATTCTTGGTGACTTTCTACCTCCCCTGCCTCTCTGACCTGCCATCCTCTCAGCCCCTCCCTCCGCGGTCACTCTGAGACCTTTCTCCATGGCACAGTCTTTAGAATTTCAATCTTAAGCATCTCCCTACTCCCATCAGCTCTCCTTCCAGCTCTCTGCCCCCATAGCCTCAAATCCCCACAATCCTTCCAAACCACTGTGATCTCCCACCCTAGGTGCCTATCTCTTTCTCACTTCCCCTCACTCCTCAAGTCCTCAGTTTTTCCTAATCATTTACATTACTTGCTTAATCATTAAAAACATTCTTCGCAGCCCTGGCCAGTTCGGCTCAGTGAATAGAGGTCAGCCTGAGGACTGGAGGGTCCGGGTTCTATTCTGGTCAAGGGCACATGCCTGGGTTGCTGGCTTGATCCTCAGTGGGGGGCATGCAGGAGGCTCTTAATGATTCTTTCTCATCATTGATGTTTCAAGCTCTCTCCCCCTCTCCCTTCCTCTCTGTAATTAATCTACCTAATAAAAGAGTAACATGCTAATTGACCGTACCTTTGTGATACCCACCAGCCAATCAGAAGTACATATGCAAATTAACACAACAAAGATGGCATATTAACTTGCATATGCAGGCAAGTGGCCTCGGTGGACCCTTGCATCGTCACCATGGTGATGACGCAGGCGTTTTGCACCACCCCAGCTGCTCCATGCCTCTGGGCAGCGTGGGAAGGCGGAAAGGCAGCTCTGGGCCAGAGCAAAGGCAGTGCCAGCAGCCAGGGGAAGGAAGGCCCATTCTTGTATGAATCTTATGCATCAGGCCTCTAGTATAAATATATTAAAACAAACAAACAAAAACATTCTTTGCATATACCCTTCCTCCTTTGGCTTCCTCTTACATGTGACCCTGTTTAAATTCAGCCCTCCACCTACCCTGTGCCTGTACCCATAGTTTAAGTGGCTAAAGAACAATGCACAATGACTGGCTGGTCACACTTCAAATCTATGAACTTGACCCTCAAACCCTTAAGGCTGCCTGGTAATAAGATTATGTTTCTCTTATCCACTTCCTATAAATAACTATTTCATACCTTCTCCCATCTCCTATCCCATCACTCCTTCCACTCTTCACTCTCTCCTTGCTTCTTATTTTGCAGAAATAAAAAGTGATGAGAAGCAAACTTCCACAGGCCTGCACTGTCCCATCCACCACCTGCCTGCCCTGGGCCCACAGTGCCTGCTCTTGTGTATGTCTACCCACTCCAGGCTGTGGTCTCACAGTTGTCCCTTTCTGCTGTGTGTCCAGTTCCCCTCTGCATGGACCTTCCTGTCTGCTCACAAAGTGTCATCTCTCTCATCTGAAAACAAACCCTCTCTTGATCCTACGTCCCCTTCCAATTATGGCCCCATTTATTTGCTCCTCTTTATTTTTTATTTATTTTTAAAATATATATTTTATGATTTTTTACAGAGAGGAAGAGAGAGGGATCGAGAGCTAGAAACATCAATTAGAGAGAAACATCGACCAGCTGCCTCCTGCACACCCCCCACTGGGGATGTGCCCGCAACCAATGTACATGCCCTTGACTGGAATCAAACCTGGGACCCTTCAGTCCGCAGACCGACGCTCTATCCACTGAGCCAAACCGGTTTTGGCTGCTCCTCTTTATTTTTTATTTATTTTAAAAATATATATATTTTATTGATTTTTTACAGAGAGGAAGAGAGAGGGAGAGTCAGAAACATCGATGAGAAAGAATCATCGATCAGCTGCCTCCTGCACATCCCCCACTGGGGATGCGCCTGCAACCAACGTACACACCCCTGACCGAAATCGAACCCAGGACCACCCAGTCCGCAGGCCGTTCTCTATTCACTGAGCCAAACTGGTTTCGGCTATTTGCTCCTCTTTATAATAAAACTTCTCAAAAAAGTTTATACTTGGTACATCACTTAATCTCCATGTGCCTCAGTTTCCTCTTTTGAAAATGGGGATGTTAATAGCACCTACTTCTTAGGGTTGTAGTGATATCAAAATGGGGAGTGGGATAATATTTGCAATGTACTTAAGTAAAACCACTGGGGTCTCATAAGTAACAGCGATAATCTGTGCGAATAAAAGGGTAATATGCTAATTAGAGCAGCTGTCTCAGGACAGTGGCTGCCTGAGGCTCAGGCAAGCCACGTGGCTGCAAGGGCAGAGCTCATGCAGCCGCAGCGGCCAGCAGTGGCGGCAGCAGAGGTGTGATGGGGGTGTTGCCCTCCCCTGATCTGCGGTTGCCTCCACAGAGGGAGGCCAGACTGCGGCTTAGGCCAGCTCCCCAGGGGAGTGAGTCTAAGCCGCCAGTAGGACATCCCTGAGGGCTCCCGGACTGAGGGGGCAGGCTGGTCTGGGGGCCCTCCCTAGTGCACGCATTTTTGTGCACCGGGCCGCTAGTAATTGAATATTAAGCACTAAATTATGTCAGCTACAATTATTATTACACATCATAAAAAGATGACGAGCAACCATTTAGTGATGATATTTTCATCTGGTGACATTTATTGGGCCCTTATTAAGCCACTGTGACATTTAAGCTGGATCATCTCACTGAGTCCATCATCTTGTTTTAATGGCCACAACGATCCTTGGAGGTTGCCCTGGGGGAGGAGGCTGCCATGACCTAATGCTTCTTCTGTTACCTGATGCCAGTAAGTGCTTGATTCCTGTCAGCTGTTAGATTTTTAAATAAAATGATTAAGATCTTTTAAGAACTAAGCCTGTCTCAGGCAAGTGGTCTGTGGACATGGCAAGAAGCCAGATACCTCTTGACCCCCTAGGGACTCGGCTGTGGAGACAGGCTTGAGTAACTAGAGAGTGCTTTGCTCTGGGTGGTCTTTATCTGCCTTAAGAATTAGCTGCAATTTACAAGCAAGTCCCCAGCTTGCCTGCTGGATGTGAAATTCACCGGAGAACAGCTGGCTCCTGGGCGGGTGTTCCTTAGGAATGTGCATCCCTGAGCAATGGGAGGATTCCAGAGATGGGTAGCCCCTCACAGGACGGCAGGAGCCAGGCCCTTCAAGTGATGTACAGTATGAGCATGGGTATACAAAACTTTTTTTTTTTAAAATACATTTTATTGATTTTTTACAGAGAGGAAGGGAGAGAGAGTTAGAAACATCGGAGAGAGAGAAACATCAATCAGTTGCCTCCTGTACACCCCCCACTGGGGATATGCCTGCAACCAAGGTACATGCCCTTGACCGGAATCGAACCCAGGACCCTCCAGTCCACAGGCTGACGCTCTATCCACTGAGCCAAACTAGTTTTGGCCAAAACTCTTGTTTGGGATGCTCTGCTGAGAGCCACGAGGTGCCTTGTAGCCACCATATCCATATGGCTGATGCCAACCACCGGCTGGGTCAAATGGGGCACATAAGGCACCGCCTGCTGCCTAGTGCTGGGGGCATACTGAGGGGTGGGGAGGTTATTCCATTCGTCCTCAGGGCCTGGGAGATGCCACTGTATTGTTTCCAGAGACCCACGACTCTATGGCAGACGGTATCTGACTTGTGTGACCGCAGAAATGACATTGCTAAGGAGTTTCCAAGATGGTCCTATGACAAAAGGTACTGCCTCTGCCCGTCAGGACGTGTGCTGCTAAATGGTTAGCGGGCTCGCTAAGGGGGAAAGAAGTCTGAGTTTGTAGGTTTGCTGGTTTTGCAGGATCACTACAACTGACCACGGCTCACTGCCAACTGCCAACATGGGGGCAGAAGAGTTACCCGAAACCCACGAGCCAGTGCCAGCCGCTCCAGCGTCCCACTGCCTGGCTCACTTAGGACTGGCCGCCTGAAGTCACCATACTGGAGACCATGTGAGAGGAGAGTGTTGGGGCCTCAGATAGCTGACTGCCCATCCCAGGTGTTAGTTTTCAGATGACCCAGCTCCCATCACCGATGGCAACTGCCCCTGAGAACTGCTTAGCTGAGCCAAGACAACTCACCACACTTAAAAAAGAGCCCTGGCTGGTGCTCAGTGGTTAGTGTCAGCCTGCGCACCGAAGGGTTACAGGTTCGATTCTCTTGTCAAGGCAGGTGCCTGGGTTGCAGGTTTGATCCCCGCCCTGGTCAGGTATGTGTGGGAGGCAACCAACTGATGTGTCTCTTTCACATTAATGTTTCTCTCTCTTTCTCCCTCCTTTCCACTCTAAAAATCAATGGGGAAATGTCCTTGAGTGACGATTGACAAGTTACTGTCACTGGAACAATGCACAGTAACCTGCACTGCATGGGACGGGGACTCCCACAGGACTGGCCTGCCCTGGTGCCAGTCCCCAATAAGAAACAGAGGGTGCCGGACTACAGATGTGCACCAAA